AACATACAACACCCTTATAAAAAAAACATATAGTACCACTAGTCTTAAACCTAGAGGTCACATCTTCGAATCATTTAAGTAGCACCTACCTATAAAAATCAATATATGTCACCCTAATACAAAAAATTGTGCGGGTCGGGATAGGTTTGGATTTTCGCAAAACCCAATCCAAACCGTTTTTCATCCCACAAACACCTAAAGAGCAAAGCAAAATCGTTTTGTGCCTCGCTTTAACAATATAAATAATTTATAAATAGATGTGAATGTTAAAAAGATATAATGTGTGGTTATATTGGTGAACACATGTGTTGGTTTCTCTTCTCAGATTAGAGACACAAAATTTTAACGTTGCAGGGTACCCGCACATCATTATATCAAGTTTCTCTCATCTGCCTCTTCTGATCTATGATTTCCCTGTTTTCTATACAAAGTAAATCTATGATTTTGTGTTATAAGTAATGTGAGTATGATAGTCATTAGTCAATGCAAGTTATGGTTCCCTTTTTAATTGGATTTAGTGTGAATGGGAATATCTTTAGTATCAAACTATCAGATAGGTGTCCTTAATATTTTGAGTTCACTTGCTTATTACTTCTTTTTAATATGAACTTATGCATAAAAGAATAGTTTTGTCATCCTTACACAAGTACATTTTATTTGTAATATGATGTCAAAGTATTCTTTTGACTCGGTTTTTTCTTCTTTATTCATTTGATGGTTACTAGTGATAGCAATCGAACCTAACTACACGGGTACCCAACTTGACCCAGCACGATCAAAACCGGTAAAACACAATGTTGACGCAATGTGAGTCAGGTGTTGATTTTACTTGCTTTAAATTTGGCAGGGTTGGATTTTTCCAAAACACAAATCGCTTTCCATCCCTCACACCCATAATGCAAAATGACAGTTTTGTGTATGACCTATACGATATGAAAATTTATGAATGTTATTAGTCATTATGACAATATAATCCTAATAGTATAAACAATTTATATAAGTAATTAGTCTTTATGAAAGTATATTTGAAGGGAAAATTTGATAATATCACTTATGGATGTTCGGAAAAAAGTGTGGTTATATTCACGGTTGGATTTTCTCTTCTAATACTATGTTGATATGTTATGGGTTTTTTTTTTTTTTTTTTTTGTGTGGGTGCGCCCGCTAAGATGGGTTTGAGTTCAGAGAAATCCGATCGTTCGACATCCCTAATGGCTATTTGTATTTGGTATATGGTACTAAACCTCAAGAGGCACTATTATTAAGATTTGGTTTCTTCTAAGTTGTGTTCTTATGAAAGGGATCTCCAAGATGGTTATTTGTTAGTTTTAGCATTGAACATTTAGCAATCTCATTAGCAAATCATCACTTCAGAATCGCCTGATCTTACTTTCTTTTCTTCTTCAGACGTTTCAATAGAGTTAAGATGTCGAAGCGCAGTAATTGATAATTATGTTTCTTATATCTTCTCATTCTTCACATTGACACCCATATTCTGTTCATTTTTTCTTATGATAATATATATAGTTACTATCAATCAACTAAGTTATATATTTTAGTAGAGCATAAAAGACCTACCCATAACAAACTAGTCTAATTCTGATTTTCTTAACTAGTATAAGGCTAACACCAACTCTAATCCTTTAGTATGATTATCTTTTTGCGGCAAAAAAAAAAGAAGGTATTTTAACACCCAAATCAAATCAGTTTGCATATATCTCATCTTTAAACGAATAAATCGGAAATTAAAATCAAATAGAAACCAATCTCTATTTAGTTGGGATATTCTTGATTTGAAGTCGTTCCAGGAAAGAAATAATGCCGTTCTTTCATTAACCCCAAAATTGAAATAAACCACTTCAGTTCAAATTACCGATTCGGTCCTCGAACTATCGTCCAATATCCCAATTGGGACCTCGTCGTTGTCCTCTCAATCCTCAATTATAAGCAAAGGAACAGCCCGACAAGCTCATCCTGGGAACTGAGGGAGAGGGGCCGCGGGGAAATTGGTTTACAAAAATGGTTTCCCGCTAGAAGCGCGTTCGTTTCTCGTCCTTCTCTCTCGAAGAAGAAACAAAAACGTACATCCATGGAGGACGACCTCTCTTTCTCTCTCTCCTCAATTCGTTCATCGTTCTTCTCCTCTTCTTCTGCTGCTAAATCACCCCAATTGCTGCATCTGGAGAATTGGTTTTATAAATAAATACATTAAACAAAACGTTAATCAGCCAACGTTTGTTCTTCTTCTTCTCTCTCTTCTCTGATCTCAATCCTTCCCCTCTCTCTCGCACTCCATTATTCGCTTCACTGCGCCGAACAGGAACAACCAGAATAAAAAGCTCGGACTTTTGTCTGGGATTTGTTAATAATAACCCTCGGATCGCATTGGGTTTTCTTCTCTGGGGATTTTGATTTTTCATTTGGGAGGAAATCTGACAATGTCGTGCTTCAATTTCCGTAAGGACAAGAGCCCTGCTCGCGGGAAGAAAATGTTGGATGACAAACACAAGTCTTTCAGCGCTTTGCAGGACAACCCTGCTGCAGGTACGAAAACCCCAAATATTTATGCTCCCCTGGTTATTGTTTTGGCAATGTATATCTTTGTCCTTTCATATGAGCAAATGTGGTTTGAGAATTTCGATTTTCAATTGATTTGTGGATTAGTAGTTGTCCCTATCTGGCATTTGTAGGGATTCAATGTAGTTGTGGTTCTTTTGGTGATTTTTGGTTGCTCTACCATTTCAATTGAGATGGGTTTTTGCCACCAAAACTTGGTTGAACTCAGAAACTGGAAAAGGGCTTTGGAATAGCAAACAGATCCTAGCAAGGGTTCTGAGGCAATCTTGTTCAAATCCCACCTATTGAAGAGATTGCAAAGTTCTGGCTTTTCACTGTGTTCTGGACTGTTTCAAACTTCTTTTGTCTATATCAAACATCTAGATCAAATTTGCAGATAGTGGTGGGATGTTGATGGATGAGGGAAAGATGTGTGAAGGCTAATGACTAGCATTGTTGAAGCTGATTGTTGGTCTTTTTTGCTGCCCATCAGGATATTCAGGAGTTCCTGAAAGAAAATCCCACTCATCATCCCTATTGAGTTTGAGTAAGAAACAAAGCAGCAATCAGAAGGGTGGTACAAAGGAGAGCGCGCTTCTTCATTTGAGATCCGAGGGGGACATATTGTCATCAGTTAACTTGAAATCCTTCACATTTGCTGAGCTAGTGGAAGCCACCAAGGACTTCAACCCTGACGCTTTGATTGGAGAAGGGGGATTCGGCTTTGTTTACAAAGGGTGGCTTGATGAACAGACCTGTCATTCCGGAAAGGGAAATGGAGGCAAAGTTGTGGCCATCAAGAAGCTTAAACCCGACGGTTTTCAGGGTCACAAGGAGTGGCTGGTACTCATTTCTTGCTGCTTTCGGTCAGCATTTTTCTAGTGTAGCTGTGTATATGCCTTTTCTTACAATTACTGCCTGCTTTATTGCAGTCTGAAGTGAATTATCTCGGCCGACTCCACCACCCAAATTTGGTGAAACTTATAGGTTATTGCTTAGATGGAGAAAACCGCCTGCTGGTCTATGACTACATGCCCAAAGGAAGCCTGGAGAATCACCTGTTTAAAAGTAAGTACTGCTTCTGTTCTTTTTCTTTTAGAACACAAGGACAAAGAAGTGGATTCCTGGCTCATGGAAAGCACATTCCATTTTGTTATAACGAATAATGAAGTTGTATTACTTCCCAGGTGAAGGAGAGCCTCTTTCATGGAAAACAAGGATGAAAGTCGCCATGGGTGCTGCCAGAGGCCTTTCCTTCCTGCATGACTCAGAACAACAAGTTATCTATCGTGATTTCAAGGCATCCAATATTCTCTTAGATTCGGTTAGTTGAACGTCATCTCCTCACCAAGCATTACCATTTCTCTTATCCTGAGTTCCTTCATACCATGAACTTTCGGACTTAATCTTCTGTTACATACGCAGGACTTCAATCCGAGGCTCTCAGACTTTGGCTTGGCGAAGGCGGGTCCAACAGGTGATCGCACCCATGTTTCCACTCAAGTTATGGGCACTCGCGGATATGCTGCACCTGAATACATTGCTACAGGTAGGAAGTGGGATTGAATCAAAATTCATCACTTAGTCTCCTGAAGTTAAGTAAAGCTAGATTGTGCAGTACTACTATCTGATCAAAACTAACGAAACGTCTTCTTATCGATGATGAACACAGGTCGGCTGACAGCAAAGTGTGATGTGTACAGCTTCGGCGTGGTGTTAATGGAGATGCTGACGGGGCGCCAAGTCGTTGACAAGACCAAAGTAGGGGTGGAGCAGAACCTAATAGAATGGGTGAGACCTTACTTGAACGACAAGCGAAAGCTGTTCAGGGTGATGGACACCAAGCTGCAAGGGCAGTACCCTCAGAAGGCTGCATTCATGGTTGCGTTCCTCGCCTTGCACTGTCTCGGGGATGCCAAGGTCCGGCCAAGCATGCCCGAGGTCATCACAATTCTGGAGAAAGTCATGTCAGCAAAGCGCACCAAGAGCCCCAGTCCATCACAAGTCTCCGAGTCTCCATTGAGTTACAGCGACGGTCCACCACCACAGCCTCCGACAGTTTCCCAAAGCGATGTGAATTCCCTGCCTCCCAAGACTCAATAGCTATGCGAGAGGTTTGTCTTTGGAGTCCTGTGATTCTGGCGTAGAGTTGAGGTGTAAATTGAATTTTTTTTTATGGCTCTTTGCTTTCTTCTTTTCTGGCTGCTTTGATTTCATTTAGCCAATGGTGGTAGAGGAATTAGTAGGTATTGCAGGGTAGGATTGTTTAGAGAACATATGTACATTGAAATTGCCTGCCGGAAGGTCTATCTGCAGCCGGCCTCAGAGCAACATGATTCATTCAATTACTTGTTTCCTTTGCTCGCTCACTTGCGATTTTCGAGTGTCGTAACTTGGTAAGCAAGTAACTGGATTTTGTAATAAAAAAAATAAGGAAACATTAACAAAAGTCCTGATCTTTATGATAATCTTTCCATATCAACCATACAAAGAACAATTGTTGACATACAAAGAATCAATGGAAAACAGAGGAGGGTCTTTTACACGGAGTAACTTATGGCCCATAACTAATTAACTAGGGAATCTGGGATCTGCAAACAGGACATTGCCTTTTCCCCTTCTGAAGCCAATTCCCAATGCAATCACGATGATAAAGATGACCACACCGCAGGCGAATCGCTTCACAGGACACCTCAAACCTCTCCAAACAGATGGCGCACACCTTCCCCTGCTCCTCAACTACCACACTCTTCACCTCGAGCGTAGTACCACGGCAGGCGCCACCATTCCCACCTTTCTCCACCTCCTTCTGCGGTGGCTCCTCATCCTCGTCATCCTCCTCCTCATCATCATCATAATCGTAATCATCCTCATCATCCTCATCGTCCTCATAATCATCATCATCTGCATCGAACTCGCCATCAGCAGAGACTACACCGTGGTCGACCGAGATGCAAATCGTGACGAAAGGCATGCCTGACATGGTGACAAAACGGCGGTCTCCCGAAACAACGTGGCGAGCAGAGTCCACGACTTTTTGGAGGACGGAAAGGTGCAGGGGAATGGAGATGGCGTCCGAAACGTTTCGTACATGAGGCAGGGCAGTTTCTTTGTTGAGCAACGGGTGGAGGGGGAGTGGGAAGATGCGGTGCTTCATGTCGGAGACTAGGTCGCCGGTGGAAAGGGTGGTGGTGACCGTGGCCACGACGTTGAGAAGGAAGTTGTTGGTCGCCATTTGGTGGTAAGAATTGTGAGGAGGCAGGGGAATACGAAGTGGTAGAACGATGGAGTTTTATACATGAAAAAATAAAACCTTTTGATTTTGGTGGAGCAAAGGCAGCGTTTCTAAGCGTGAGGATATGTCGTGCTCGAGAGACGAATCGATTGGCGCCATTAGAATTGGAATGACGACGGTTGATCATATTGATTCACATTTAGTTTGGAGAGGGACACAACGGTTGAACTGTTACTAATTAGTTACTACATTTAATTTAGATTAATATTGAGTACTTAATGTGTTGTACTTATGTCAAATTTGTTGTAAGAAAAAAAAAATAGGACTTTGACATTTGTAGGGGTGGGGAGCGGTTTAGTTCACACTGGACCAAGTGGTTATTTTTATAGGATCGAATTCAATTTAATTTGATTTGGTTTTGATTCTACAAATGGTCTTTACAGGAAAAAATGAACCGAATTTACAATTGAAATGGTCAAAACCGAATTTATCTCGATTCCGATCCTCATTTTTCTTATACATACTACCTTGATTTGATCTAGAATCAGATTAAAACCCACATTTGCTTTTAATCTAGATCTAGAACTAGATTATAAACAAATGTTGTTTTGTTTCTCCCATCAAAATTATATTTATGTAAATTTTTTTCGTATTTAAGATAATTCATGTGATCAAAATCCAATAAAAACATATTAGATATAATTTCATTCGGCTAACTATTATTTATGTATAATTTGTTACAGTTTGGACCGAATCACTGCCCACCATAAACCCTAAATTTATTGGGACTGTGTGAAGGAACTAAGGAACTAGGCACATACGGCTAGGGTCGAAGCTTGCGATTAAAAGAATTATATAAGGAATTGAGGGACTAGAATTTGGGGTTTGATCGAGAAAGAAAAAAAGTGAGTTTGAGGAGGAAATTCGGCCGCCCCTAAGTGAAGGGAGAGGAAAAGAGAGAATGATTAGGGTTTAGAGCAATGCAGTCAAAATCGGGATTTTACTTAGGATTTTCTATCTGGATTTTATTATAAAATCGGTTGACCTTAAAATCGTTTAAAATCAGGATTAAAATCGTTAAAATCGTAAAACCCGATTTTAATCGTATGAGAACAAAATAGGTGGTTTGAGCCAATTTAAAAGAAGCATAACTGTTTCGACGGAAAGGGCAATAACGGGAATCTTCTCATATGTTTTTCTATTAGAAAATCATTTAAAATAATAAAAATAACCAAATTAGTGCTCGGTAAATCCCTTTTCCTTTGCCCCATTTAACTTATTGGTAAAACAATTGTCCTAATATTGAAAGTATGTAAGAATTAACATCATTATTAACTAATTAATTTATTAATGAATATATTTATACCAAGCCACTAGCATTACTTATTTTATTGGATTTCAATTATTTTTAGTTTTAAATCATACTTAGTAAACGATGTCGGAATATTACTTTGAGTTAAACTATCTAGACACAACATGAAAACAAGAGCCAAACCCCATGAGCTCTATCCCTTCATCATGAATTATTTTGAGTTACGCATTTAATAACAATTAAAATAGTAGTTTTGGAACATTAATCTTGAGAATTATCTTTTGTAAAAAAATCTTGAATATCATCATTTTAAATGTTGTGTCTTGTTATTAATGATTTATCTTACTAATATTCTTATATGTTATGTTCTATAAGGTACTTAAAATCCTACGATTTTACGATTCAATTTTACGATTCCGATTTTACCCCAATTTTCGATTTTAACTGCTTTGGTTTAGAGAATAATTATTTTGCTATTGCTTAATGAGAAAAACTCAACCAGTACATAATATATAGATCCGACAAATTTCCTATAACTACCAAATAAAACAACTAATATCAAAATCATGCAAATGTTCTCGATAATCCAAAATAATAACCAAAATAATCCGCAATCATGTCTCAAACAGGAAGAGGATTGAGGACTTTGTTTCCTACACTACACTGTGGTTCAATTTTCTAGACGTTTTATAGGCAAGTACGGGCGTCTGCTTTATGTTGGGGATTTATAAAGTGTGAATGGGACTGTGGTTTACTGGCTATTGCATCATATACTCAAGTGAAAGCTCCCAAAATCGATGAATTGCTTGCATCTCAAGACTTAGAATTCTATACGAGATGCTTTTGCTTTGTTCATTGAAAACGCTACTTGGCTATGCATCGGGGAACTCCCACTAATGATGAATTCCTTGCGTCCCAAGACTTCGAATGTTATAGAATATATATGCTATTTCATGAAAACAACATAGATGGCAGAGCAGATCCGGTGAGTAACTTTGTGTTGAGTAACCTCATACATAACTCAATAAGAATTTGTCACATCAGCGCCTCATTCTCTCTCCTGGAAAAATCATTAATTTTCTTTCTCTTAATCTTTAATGGACAATTTCTCACTCGTTTTAACTCGGAATTTAATTTTTTTGCACAGTTAGATCAAATTAATTGTGCTCTTCAAAATGATATCCACTTTGATATTTTTTAGAACAAAAAATTTGTCAGTTATCACCAGTTAATATCATATGGTATTGACTGGTATTAAATAACAGCATACCATATGGTATGAAAAATACCACCTCATACCAGGGTGGTATAGTATGGTATGGAGTTGGTAACGATTCAAAATGATATCCACTTTGATATTTTTTAGAACAAAAAAAATTTGCCAGTTATTACCATATGGTATTGACTGGTATTAAATAACAGCATACCATATGGTATGAAAAATATCATCTCATACCAGGGTGGTATAGTATGGTATGGAGTTGGTAACGAAAGGTATGGAATTTTTTCCCCATAAAATTTTGAAATCCAATAGATCATGATTAAATCGTTCCTTTTGTGCAAAAAATTCCGAAAATGACTAAACAACGAAGAAGATACCATATGGTATGGAGGTGGTAACGAGAGAGATTAAAAAAAATTCTCAAAAAATATTGAAAATGGATATCATTTTGTATAGCACAACGAACTCGTTCCATCTGTGGAAAAAAAAATTGAGTTAGAATGAAGAAGATATGATCCAATTAAGAAAACTAGGTAAAATAAATTCCTTTAATTCTCTACCTTTAGATTTGCAGCCACTTAATAGAAAGGTCCAGATTTGGTTACTCATTGTTAGGGCTGTTAATGAGCCGAGTCGAGCCGAGCTTTGCCATAGTTCGGGCTCGGCTCGTTAATATATTTCCAGGCTCGAGCTCGGCTCGTGTTCGTTACGAGCTTTAATATGCAAGCTCGAGCTCGGCTCGTTTATGAAAATGAAAGCTCGAGCTCGGCTCGTCAAATAAGCTTAACGAGCCCAAATTCGTGTTCAGCTCATAAAATGTTCATGATAGCTCAAGATTGACCTAGAACTGCGCACAAAATTACATTCTAACCTGTAACAAAGTCTAGCAAAGTAAAACACAATATTTATCCCAATTTCAATACATAAAATCCATGAATTCTAATCCTTTTTTATGTCAAACCATTAAATGAGCTTGTTCGCGAGCTTTCGAGCTGAACATGGTATGGCTCGAGTTCGGCTCGTTTAGTTAACGAGCTTGTTCGCGAGCCGGCTCGATTAAAACGAATCGAGTGTCGAACGAGTTTTTCTCGAGTCGCATACCGAGCCGTTCATGAGCGGCTTGGTTCATTAACAGCCCTACTCATTGTTACTCACCCTAAAATTACTCACCCTATCTTGAGCCATAAATGACTACCACTCGAATTAATCCCCATTAATAGTAAATCATATACCATACACTAACATGCTACTACCCAAAACCACAAACAAAGACTAAATATAACACAAACGATTAAACCCCTCAAATATGGTCCTCCACGTGGCGTCATCCAGTTTCCTCCTGCATGTCCGACGCGGCGGCGGCGGCGGGGAACCTGCACAAGGGACACGCAGCGGAGTCCTCCCTCCGCAGCTTCAGCCGCAGCCACTTCCTGATGCACTCCCCGTGGTACACATGCCGGCACCTCGTCGCCGTCGCTTCACTCCCCGCCGCCATCTCCTCCAAACAAACCCCACACTTAACTCCCTCCCCGCCGCCGCCGCCGCCTCCTTCCACCCTCACGTCCTCTAGAAACTCCTCCACATCCACCACCGCCTCCTCCTCCTCCTCGCTCTCGCTCTCCAATTCCAATTCCAATCCCATATCCTCCTCAAGGATATCATCGTCCTCGCAGAGCCGCCGCTCCAGCTCGCTGTCGTAGTCGTACTCCTCGTCGGGGACGTCCGCCACCATCGCACGTGCGGTGAATCTCGATACGGTGACCCTGCCGCCGCCGTTGGGTAGGTCCCACGCGAACAACACGTCATCAGTCGTCGTCCTCGCAGTACCGTTGTTAATATCTTCCGCGGCGGGGCCCACTACTAGTGCGTCTTCCACGCACTTGACGAGCGGACCGAAGACGCGATCCTGGCCGTTGATCTCGGCCGCCATATGGGACAGTTGGACGATTCTCCTGACGGCGGATTCCGGCCCTTCTTCCCCCAGCTCCTTGAAATCCCTCAAGAAGCTCTCTCGGCACCCACTATTGAGACTGCCGGAATGAAACTCGAACGATAAGTAGCGCATTGTTTCGACGGCGGCGAGAGATATCGATCGGTGAAGGAGATTAAAGAACGGAAATCGATCTTGTTATTTAGGGTTTTTTATTTTATTTTTGGGGTTGTTGTCCTTATAGATCAAGGAAAGGAAACTGGCGGTGATACTGGTATGCGCTTTTTTTTTTTTTCTCATCTCCGAGTTCTTATAGGAATTAGTTACCGACTGACCGTGTAGAGCGCGATTTTTTGCTTGGACTTTTTTCTTCTTTTTTTTTTTTTTGTTTTTTTACGTTTTCTCTTTTGCTTTTCGTTATTCTCCCGGCCGTAAAAATCTTGTTTTATTAAGGATTAATAATTACGATCGACCTAATAATGGAGAAAGATAATGATTAGCCGTTGGTTCATCCGCTCTTCGAGGGAAGATATAATTATTGTGCGATCGTGAGATTATTTAACGGGATTCCTCGAGATAATGCAACTAATTTTGTTAACAGAATTCAACTATGGAGTTATATATAGACCTGTGACAAACTTATTTTTTGTCAAAAAACCCATTGGAAATTTGGAATTCATAAAGATACAACGGTTCATATAGTGGGCAAAGTCTAGCAACGAAAATCAAGTTCAACTACATTAACCTGCAGGAAATATAAAAAAAAATCATTCTAGCCACTAAATGAACTACTTGTTATTAATAACATTGAACATCGATCAACTCGATTCAGAATTAATTTGACTTAAGATAAAACCGGACCTAAAAGAAAAATAAATTCAGGATCAAAATCAAACCAACAGCATATTAACTTCATTTGGTTAGACTAGGTCCGATTCAAATAATCAAACTCAACTAAACCTGCTGGAAATATATACAAAAAAATATCCATTCTACCCACCAAATGAGCTATCAATGGCTAGTTAAGATATATGTTAGTGAAGAAATAATAAGAGATTCATTCTAGTCTGGTTCGAAAAAAAAATCATTGCCTGGGTGATTGAAAAATGGAAATACGTGGAATTATTTTTTGGGTAGGATGAAAATAGATAAATTATAAACCTAAGCAGGAGTTCTATTTATTTCAAGATGCAAAATCAGTTGCAACCCAATGTTACTTTATATATTCGCTACAGCCTACAAGCATGTTTCGAAACTTGAAAAGAAGATGAAGAATCAGAAAATTTTGGGGAAGTAGAGTTTGTTGTTATTGTTGTTACATGACAAGTTGACAACCTTAAGAACAGAACAAGAAGATAAATGAGAAGGGAGGGTATGTGAACAATGAAGGAAGTAGACCAGGCTCAAGACATGTACATGTGAAACATGGAATAGAGAGAAAATAGCAGCCAACATATCTAGGGATGACAAATGAATTTTAAAGTTTGGATATTAACCAAATCCAGCTTATTATGAGTTAATTTAAGTTTAGATTATTTTATTTTTGGGTATACTTATACCTAATTTTTAGTTTGGGTTTAAATTGAACCTATAATATTTGAAGTCGAAAAGAAAATAGGTACCCGATTAAAATGCAATCATTAAAGGTGTATACCTGGATTGAAGGTAGTTTATGAAATGGTTGATATTATTTTTGTGTGTACAATTATGTAGACCCAATTAGACGCCCATTTGGATCTAATCCAAATGAATTGATCCAAATATCACCAAATTCAAACCTAACTCAAACCCAAAATAATTAAAAGTGCATATGAATATATTTAGATCCAACCCTATAACCATAGAGGTAATAACAATTAGGTTAAATTACAAATAAGTCGACCCATTGCTATCTCTACTCTAAGCATATCAACCCTCAAGATTTCCACCAACGGCTAAAACAAGCTATAACTAGCTAATCATGTTGCTCCAACAAAACACAAGAGTCCTTCACTGCCCTTGTTTGTCTCCCACAATCTAGCATCAATTCAAGCTCACTTAGTCCCTTCGGGGACATCCGACATAATTCAAGCTCACTTAGTGGCTAGTCATGTCTCTAATACCTTCAAATTCTAAATGGTACAAATGTCTTACCCTTCTATGATTGAGGCCATGAAAGTTTGATTAATGCATAGATTCGGGGTCTATTTATAGTTTTACCTACTATACTATACTTGGTGCTTGTAACATTTTTGTTGTTATGCCTTGTGCCTAACTAAATCGTGGAATCATAGTGATACACATAAACGATAACCATGCGCGTTATTCATATGCAGTCGTTACCTGTGTGTTTTTTTATAACAAAAAAACTTTACCCTTGGATGGCACATTGGCGACACCATATGTAGGCTAAACTCCAAATCACCAGCCATTGACCGGGTCATTGTGGTGATACACATAAACGATAATCATGCGTGTTATTCATATGCAATCGTTACCTATGTGTTTTCTTTATAACGAAGAACCTCTGCCCATACACGCCACATTGGCGACACCATAAGTAGGCTAAACTCTAGATCGCCGACCATTGACTAGGTCATTGATAACTGGCCGGACTTGTGGTATTCAAGCAGAGCACTAACTAACAAAGTTGGAGATCGACCACACAATCTCTTGTGTGGCAATTCACCTCCCCATCAACTAGAACTAGGTTGGACCCGTTTCGCATTATTACGTACCTATGTTATATGTGTCTAATTCTTTATTATAAACAAAATTATGGTTGATTATTTGATACATGCGTCAACTTCCCATTCGAATTATTCTCGCAACAACCAATTTAATTTGTGATTTTTGAAATTTAAAAAATCGAGTCAAACTAAAAGTTCATCATATTACATTATTTTATTTTGTCTTATTAGTTTACTTCGAACCTACTCTGTCTCGATTTGCCCCTCTCATCCTCCACCCACAGATTAGGAATTCCTAATCCAACTCGGACTCAGAAAAAGCGCGCACCCATATATCTACGGCTCTTAAAAAGGTCAAAGAAGCACCCCATATTCCTACATTCCCAAATCTTCCGATCCCAATTTCACTAATTTTCAATTCTCCCATTCCCCTGTTCTCACGTCTTTCCTTTCTCCCTCAAAACAATGTCAGCCGCCCATTACCATTGCGCGGCATGGCTGTCGGACGACGACGACGACAGCAGCAACAACGCCGACGACCACGAACAACACCGTTTCCACGATTCCCGGCTGCCGCCGGCGGCGGCTGGACCCGTGTTCTTGATCCAGCTGTTCGCCCGGATCATCCCGCAGGACCTCGACCCGGGTCAAGAAGAATCCGAAATCCCCACAATCCACAAGCATTTCCGGGTCCCCAGGGACCACCTGCTCCGCGATCCGACCTCCTGGTCGACGATAGTCGCCCGACTGCTGGAGATGGAAATCCCCGCCGAGGCCCACCCGATTGCCATCGCCAGGATCCACGAGTGCGCCCAGGAGTATTGGGGAACCCGATCGAATCGCCAAGTCGTCACGATGACCGTGCAAATCAGCAGCTCGAGCCAGGAATATATGGGAAGAATTAGTAGTTCAGGCAGGCCGGAAGCAACGAGCGAGTCGGCCGTCGAGGAATTGGAGAAGGTCTGGATTGGAAGAGATGGTGAAACGAAGTCTTGCGTGATATGTTTGGATGAGATTCGGGTCGGATCAGAAGCGACCCGGATGCCCTGTTTTCATCTTTACCACGGCGGTTGCATCAGGAGTTGGCTCCGGAAGAGCCGATTCTGTCCTCTCTGTCGCTTTCAGATGCCTTCGTCTGTTGAGTTTTAGGATTCTCTCTAGTTTTTTTCATTTTGCATTTTCTTCTTCGTTGTTTTGTAAAGGAAGGAAAATCAAATACGTTTTGGTCGTTGTAACTAACTGGATGCTCGACCATCCATCGCTAGGTAAAGCATCTCAACAGGCACACTGGAGAAACTATCGAATCATGCCAACAAATAGTTTCGTTATGCTTTTTTTCTAATCAAGGTCTTAGAACGATTTCGATAGACAAGGCTCAACTTACCAAATCTTATAACCATTTCCATCCATGAACAAATGTTGCCTCTCTAGGGGCACATTGGAGTAGGGGTGGCAAATATCAACCAATATGGTTTAATCGTGCAAACTCGGTCCGATTAGACAGGGTGAATTCGAACTATATTGGATATTCGGTGCTATGGATAAAATTTGAATCCAAATGTTATTAGTGTGATGGCGAGTATGATTTTTTTCTACTATTCAACTCGAACCTGCTCGATCATAAATATGCATACGTATTTATTTATATAAATCATCATTCTCTCTCTACACATTTGACATTCGTAGTATATATATAACATCTCAATGAATTCCGATTCCTTTTTATTATTTCTCTTAAGATTGATACTTATAATTCCAACTTTGTCACTTGCATAATGTGTATATACACACAAATAGTAACATATTGGATGAATAATAAAGAATAAACTATTATCCTTTGATATCCATGAATAACATAACCACAAATTAATACCGATATAGTTTTGATATTAATTACTCAATTTTATACGAATATTAGTATGGATAAAACCTGAACAAATTAGGATAGAGTAACGGATATGCATAATCCAACCCATGATTATCAAGATTTTTTTGTTATGTGTTTCCATTCTCTAAGAGAAGAATAGTTCATCAACAAGAAGTGAAAAGGATGTTTCAACTTTCAACCAAACTTACAAGTTTGTTACGTTTAGCTCCAAATTGAGAAAACCCCCAAACATCCTCAACCTCTCCAAATCCAGACAACAAACCAATCCCACTTTGAACCTCAATCACCCCAAAAACATCATCATTATTCAACCAAACCCTCCTATCTAAACCACCACCACTAATCTCTTTATTCTAACCAACCCTAACACAAACATCAAAACCAACTAATCAGTCTAAGTAGCCGTGAACCTAAACACCATAGCATGGACATAGGTGTGACCAGGCTCCACAACCTGAGACGGAAAATTATTCGGATGATTCACCGCATCCGGAAAACCTTGCGTCTCAAGGCAAAGCCCTGCATACTTGTTATAAGTAACCCCACCTTTCCCCTTCACAGAGTCCAACATGTTCCCCGTGTAGAACTGAACCCCTGGCTGGTTAGTCCACAGCTCCATCTTCCTCCCCGACGCCTCGTCCCTCACCACCGCGGTCTTCTCCAGGTGCGGCTCCAGGGGCCCGATCTTCCTCGCGATCACGTAATTGATGTCGTACCCTCCCTCGACCTCGTCGATCCTGCTCCCGATTTGTCGCGAGCGCGTCGTGAAATCGTAGGGTGTGCCCTTCACCACGGCGAATTGGCCCGTGGGGATGAGCTGGTCGTCCACCGGAGTGTAGTAGTGGGAGATGATATGGATTGTGTGGTTCAGGATCGTCCCGCTGTCGTGCCCGCCGAGGTTCCAGTAGCCGTGGTAGGCCAGGTTGACAGGGGTGGCTTTGGTCAGGGGCGTCGCCGACATTCTGATAGCGAGTATGTTGTGCTTCAGGATCATGTATGTGACTGAGACGGAAAGGTCTCCTGGGAAACCTGTGGAATGAAACAAAACGCATCAGTAAACGAAACGTTTTGGGCATGATATTATACTCTAACATCTAATTGGTGAATTCCAGTCCGCATTTATCTAATACAAATCATAAGATTCATTTAATATTAAAATGAAAACCAACGATTCTGATTCATCGAAATTATCAAAAGTACAAATAATAGGTGTCAACATAAACATATAGAGTCGGCTAGAATTTGTCATGCATACCTTCTTCTCCATCGAAACTGTCGTAAGAGAAGGTAATGTGGGCCTGCTTGCTGGTTTGGACGAGCTCTGTGACTTTCCAGATGACATCGGAAAATCCCTTTGGCCCTCCTGGTAAAGAAAACAACATCAGAATCGAATACGGTATTCCAAAACATTATAAACATTATTCGTTTAGAATCTGTGTTCTACCAAACGAGATTACCGTGTAAAGTGTTATTGTGATCATTTGCGGGCAATTTGTAGTAGGTTCCGTTCAATTTGAACCCGGCCCCTCCGATTCTGTTAGCAACTCGTCCAACAATGTTTCCGAAGTACACCGTATCATTCTGTCAGCCATGGATAAGTATTCATAGCGTCAGAAAAAAAACAGGGGAGTTACTGAAACAGAGGAAAGAACGGAGATTGGGTTCACAGCATAGACCTTGTAGTCTTCAGGGTTGTCGAAACCAAGGGAAATATCAGCCAATTTTCCTGGGAAAATGGAAACAGAGCGTCAAGAAAGGGACTTTATTGAATGGAATAAACCCCCAGAGGGACTCTGTTTTTTTCTGTAAGAAACAGGGGATTTAGATTTACTATACCGTGTCTGTCAGGGAAGGTGACGGAATTCAAGGTGGCACCGTAATTGGTGAATCCCAGTTTGAGATTTCCCTTCTGCAGCTCATACTGTTTCACTGCCACCTCGTCGTCTTCTGTCTTGCAGTGGCCATGGCTGGCAAATGACAGGGTTTGGAAAAGGAAGAGAGTGAAGAAAACAGAGAGCTTGGTCATTTTTTTTTTTTTGTATGTAACAGATTATGGATCGAAAGACATCTTTTCTCGAGTATCTTTTACAGTAATATATAGCGCATGAGAGGAGACAGAAGGGGAGATGATTAAGGATAAGAAGGCGGAATAGTCTCTCAACTGAGCCTCCAAAAGTGATGTGCAGGAAAACTGAGAAAAGAGAAGATCGAGTTCTGTTCGGCGAATATTTAGTAAAATATTTCGGTTACTGTTTCTGGGGCTGATTTTGGTTTTGACTGTTTCTGGATTGAGGTGGCGATTGATTGCTTTACATCGTTTCCTTTCGTTGGTTTCTTCTCCTACTGTACTTAATCTTATCCTGATTTTCTGGAGGTGTTTGGCTGTTTGCGGTGACTTGTGTGAGTTCGACGATTTGCGTTGATGTAATGCGAGTCCTACACAATTTGTCAAAGGATCATTGTAAAAGAAATTCCAAACTCATCCATCAATGTTTTTTTTTTTTTTTTTGAAGCGTTGTACTAGCCCATATCGTTCTAATCCCCAAGTATGCGGCACACTCGTAAAAGTGAGTGATTCGGTCGTATAATCCTATAGATAACTACTAAAAATGGGAGTTGCTAAAGGTCGCCCTTAGAATTGCTAAAGGTCGCCCTAAAAAAATTTAAAGTTACACTTATAACCCCCTATCTTCTTTACTTTCCTTTTATCAAACAAACACCACTTGGACTAAAAAAACACTATCTAAGGAGAGAAAAATCCATCATCGTCATTTTGAAGCCGATATTGTCGGTAGGACGTCTGAATCATGAGTAGCGACTCCGACGAGGTAAATACATTAACTGAAAAACGAAAAAAAAAAACCAAAAAATGCCCAACCGCAGGTCACTTGCGGTTGGGCATTTTCTGGGTTTTTTTTTCGTTAAATAATTTTCTATTTTTTATATGATTTATGATTTGTTCCATGAGATAATTTGTTGGGTTTTAATTTATATAATTTTCTAGATTTATTTGCATAATTATTTTTGGAATTGAAGGATTTAGCATTAGAAATTAAGATTAGATTTGGCCTTAAATTAAGATTAGATTTAATTTGGTCTTAATCTAGAAAATTAAGATTAGATTTTGCATTACAAATTAAGATTAAATTTATTGCATAAATAATAGATTCGCATTAGAAATTAAGATTAGATTTGGCCTTAAATGAAGATTAGATTTAATTTGGTCTTAATCTAGAAAATTAAGATTAGATTTTGCATTACAAATTAAGATTAAATTTATTGCATAAATAATAGATTCGCATATGAAGATTAGATTTAATTTGGTCTTAATCTAGAAAATTAAGATTAGATTTTGCATTACAAATTAAGATTAAATTTATTGCATAAATAATAGATTCGCATATGAAGTTATGATGATTATTAAATTTAATATAGTTATGAAATTTTAAATTTATCATATGGTACTCGTTAAATTGACGATATAGAATGTTAAGTTTTTTTTTGTTAAATTTGTGGGGTATCACTTATAAATTCTGATAACATTGCTGGATATTGGAAGTTACAATCCGGATGGCCATGATTACACCTCGGATTTCATTGATGGCGTGAAATACACTACCAAGTTGCAAGCATATGAAGCAGCTACTGAGATTGCCAAGGGTTTTGGGTTTTATTTGGTGAGGGCATCGAACAAAAAAAAAAAGAATGAAGGTACTTGGCGACATTACTTACATTGCACTCATGGTAGGAAGAAGAAGTCGAAAGAACCTGATCCGAGTAAGGAAAGGAGGCCTCTTACATCTACTGAAAAGTTGGGGTGCGAGTTTCAGATCAAACTTGAGCGGTCAGGTGATGGATATTGGTTGATCCTAGGGGTGGCAAATACAAAGAATCCTGGTGCTAATTTGGGTTTCCACAATCATCAGTTGGAGCTATTTCCGGAAGGATCAAAGGGAAGGAATGTTCTGACTACAGAGGATAAGCAATACATCAGAGAGCTGAGATCAGCCGGTGTCCCACCAAGGAATATCCACAAGGCAGTGAATGAGAGAAAAGGTGCAAATGGAACACACAACAGAAAGCAGATTTATAACGAGTTGCAAAAGATAAGGAAAGAAGAGCTTGGTCAGATGACAGCCTTACAGTATACTTTCCGCGTGGCGCAGGAGAAGGGTTACTATGTGCAGTATATGGACGATCGTAACGTGCTTACACACTTGTTCCTAGCCCACCCTGAGTCAGTAGTGATGTTGCGAGCTTGGCACCATGTGATCGTGATAGATGCAACATACAAGACCAATAAGTATGATATGCCTTGGGTTGAGATTGTCGGCATGACACCAGTGGGATTGAACTTTGTCATTGCATCTGCAATAGTGTACGACGAGACGAAGGAGTCGTACCAGTGGCTTCTGACGCATTTGCAACATCTTCTTGGCCCCATTGTTCCAGATGTGTTTGTCAGTGACAAGGCAGGAGGATTGGTTGAGACCGTGGGGGTAATGTTTCCATCATCGACTCATATATTATGTCTTTGGCATATGGATAGGAATGTGAGAGCAAAGTGTCTAGCGGAGGTGAGAAGGACGACTCATTGTGGTATAGATGCAGCCAAACCGACAGTGGATCATATCATGGCGTCTTGGCAACGTGCTGTATATGCATTGACAGTGGAAGACATGGATACTGCCTTAGACAATTTCATACATGGTTGGGGAGTACAGTACCGACGTCTTTGGGGGTATATGACAGCTGAGTGGTTACCAGTTAGACACATGTGGGCTAAATGTTATACCAATCAACTGCGGCATTTGGGTAACACAATTAACCAATTTCCATCTCAATTTCGAATCATCATTTTTAGTATAAATGGTGATTAAAGCCTTGTTTGACAACCAAGTAGTAATGTCAGTGATTTTGAAAATGCATGCTTGATTACATTGTTTGTTTTTTTCATCTTTTCATTAATATCGTGTATTCCATCTCTAATTCTAAAATTATTATGGGTAATTCTATATCACAATTATTTTTTATATGAAGAGGGGCATTGACGCACAAGTTCAAAACTATTATGATCTCATGAGTAGCTGACAAATTCACGAGAGCAAGTGATTCGGACTTATAGCTCCCCCTATTAGTGGTTAAATAGAAATTTCCGTATGAGCAATGAAAATTTAATTGAAAAATATACCGTGTTGAATTTTGTATGTATATCACATGGGGAATCACATCGGGAATCACTGGTCCACCTGAACACATCGGAGACTCGGCTGTAAGAAACCACGACATATCTTTCCTCGTGGTCTTCCTCTTCCTATTTCCATCTCCGCCATCCTCGCTACTAGGTATGGACGCATAGCGTCCATCGGGGCCACGGAAGTGGGAGGAGGCAGTAGAAGATATCCCGACCCGCGTCGTCTTCCCCACGCCTAAATCAGCTTGAGGTGGAGCATCCCCATCCTCGGCATCACCAGCAGCATCACCAGCACGATCACCAGCAGCATCACCAGCATCATCACCAGCAGCATCACCAGCATCTGGGGCATTCCCAACCTCAGCCTCACCGTCATCATCATCATCCTCGTCAATGGAATCACTCCATTTAGCCTGCCATACCGGTGCGCTCTGTGGTGTAGGAGTACTGGTAGTACCTCGACTAAGAGACAACTGCCCCACAGTAGGGTGGCCGTCAGGACGCACTACATCCGCCTTCTTCTTCCTTCTAACCTTAGGTGGATTTTTTTCTTCATTTTCCTTCCTACCAGTCGCCGTAAGTCTACAAGCACGACCTTCCATTCTCTCCTTATTTCTCGCCTTAATCATATCCGGTTTACCCATTCCATGTCCAGACATCTTCAAAAAAAAAGTTTGAATTATTAATAATGGATTATTAATAATAGAGTACATAAAGTAATAAATTAAAGATTTCCATAATTAAAATTATAAAATTAATAGTTTGAACATTTATGTTACGTTCTATGTAATCATTATTTACATAAAAGTAAATAATTAATCAAGGTAAAATTATTAATAATTAAGTAGATAAACGAATTACTTTGAAATTTTGATTATTAAAATGATAAATATACATTTTTAATTTTTTTATTATGTTCTTTAAATTTTTTATCATTAATTAACATTTATCGAAAATGTTTTTTAAATTTTTATATCATATAACTAAATTAACATTATAACTAAATTAACATTTATCGAATACGTTATCATTAAATATAATTTATAACTAAATTATTTTTATTAAGTATATTTTTTAATTTTTTTATTATTATTAGCATTTATAACACAGAATTTAAAAAATAGAATTTAAAAAAAAATGGGTCAACCGCGGTCAACGCGCGGTTGAACCAACGGCTGACCGCGGTCAAAGCGTGGTTAGACCATCGGTCAATCGCCCTTTGACCGCGGTCAGCCGGCGGTTCAACCGCGCGTTGACCGCGGTTTGACTGCGGGCGGGAATTTTTTTTTTTACCTTCTTCTTCTCCGACGAGCGAGCTTGCTCCGGCAGCGGCGAGCGCGCGACCTTCTTCTCGTCTGCGCGTCGGCGGGAACGCGACGAGGGGCAGAGCCCCGGCGGTGGGAACGCAACGAGGGGCAGAGAAGGAGGGCGGCAACGCGTCCGGCGAGGCTGTACGGCGGCGATGCTGGCGCGGGCGGCGAGGGACGGCGGCGAGCTTGCGCGGCGTCTGGCTGCTTCTTCTCCGGCGGTTGGGATTTTCACGGCGGCGGGTTGATTTTGCAGAGGGAGAGGTTGAAGGAAGTCCGCTGGAAGGAGGGTGGAGGGGTAAAGGGTTGTTTGGTTGGTATATTTTTTAAATTTTCATTAAGGGCATATAGGTAAATTGATTTGTAAGTTAGGGCGATGTTTAGCAATTTTTAGGGCGACATTTAGCGATTCAGCTAAAAATAGGTTATGGAAATCGAAACCGACAACGTTATGCCAACTATTATATTTTATCACCTGAACGACCTCTTCTTGTTTGTTCTACTTTTTGTCTTGTCCTGCAACCAAACATTATCGAATACATGCCAATTTGATTTGAACACTTTAACTATCAGCTTGTATTGACTAAATATCCACTCTGATACAGGTTTTTCCAACAACCATGTGTATGCTTCCTCATTGTACTCTTTAAGCTCAAGCATAGATTTGTTAAATTCAGCCTGATATGATGATCTAGCAACAGCCCATAACAAGTCTTTAGTGGTTTTGTTACCTCCTTGAGCTCGTTGTAGATTTGATCATAAATGCCTCACACAAAATCGATGCTCTGCATGTGGCACCAATGTAGCCAGAGCATTGACCAGTCCCTACAAAGTTTCAAAATTAATCACAAACTCCAGAATGAGAACATTTAAACAAAAGGAGAATCTAGAGTTATAACTTCAAAAGCATAAGCCATAAAAAGTATATACAAAACTAATGCTCACTTTTTGTTTATCGGACATGAATGTCCACTTCTCAGAATATTGGGAGATCTTCAAGTCACAAAGTACATTTGCCAAAAACCAAGTCCAATTGTCTTCGTTCTCCACCATGACCATAGCATAAGCTATAGGGAAAATCCCATCATTGGCATCCATGGAAACTGCCGAAAGCAATTGGCTCCCGTGAAGCGTCTTTAGGAAACAACCGTCAAGGAAAATTATCTTTCTACAACCGGATGCAAACCCATCCTTGCATGCACCCAAACAACAGTACATTCTGTGAAAGTTGTTCTCCTTCGTCTCCACAAACATAGATGAACCCGGATGGGTTCGATAAACCTCAGCGCAATAATCATGAAGCCGCCTATACTGATCTTCTGCCTTTCCTCTTATTTGATCTAATGCATAGCCTCTTGCCCTTGTTGCTGTCCACCTTGTTATAATATAGTGAAAATCTTCTTCCACTGTTTACACTATTGCATCAGTTCCCCATTTAGGATCAACTTCAAATCTTTGTAAATACTTTTTTGCAATGAACTTGTAATCAAACCACTTGTGCCTAGACAACAGAACACATCCATCATGCTGCAGCTCCACAGACTTGATCTGAACTGCCTTCTTATCTTTGGTAGGTGAAACCCAAATGTTCCATCTACAATTCTTATCACATAAAACTTGAACCCGTTGAGTATCACTGTGGACAAACCTCAAGGGGAACTTGTTCTTGATTGGGTAAGCCCTAATAGCCTCTTTGAATGTCTTGAAGTCCCTAAAAATTTGACCGTCACTAAAATGAGGATCTTCCATATCCCTTGCCGGATTAAATTTTTCAAATCTTTTTCTCGAATTGCCCTCGTCATCACTTGAATGGACACTACCCAAATAATCTGAATCACCGCAATCACTGTCAGCATCTGCAACAACTATATCATCAATTGGGAAATTGTGATTGAACCCTCCACTTCCTGCATCATCTACATTAAACTCGTCTTCACTAACTGCATTTTCTTCATCTATGAACTCACTGTCGGCATCAAACTCAATATCTCTTTCAATTTCGGGTCTTGAAACTTCAATGTAAGGGTGTCTTCGCTCACCCTCGTTATTCTCAACAAAAAGAGGTCTCCGAGAACTCATATTGGCTGTTGGTTGATCATCACCACCTACCATACGGGACAAATATTTTAAACAACCATATCATATTACGTTTATGTCTAAGGAAACCAAAAGAATGATGTTGTGAAGTGGAAACTGTAGGAACCACAGAGTGTACACAAACAAATAAAGAAACAAACCATTGATAGTTTCCAAACTTTTTGTTCCCTTTTGCTCTCGTAAACCAAACACATACTTATACTTGGCAACCTAAACAACACCATTTACCATTTCAAAGCAGAAAAGAGAGAACCCTTACCGTAGGAGGGTAAAACTGATTTTCTCATAATTGGCACCATCTGTACGTCATCTTCCAGACCTAGAAATCCTGTAGCTTGAACTTTGGCTATACTAACTGGAAACCCAATTGCATGTCCTGATCTGTGAAGCATAAACCATTAAAACTTCTTCAAGGGAGAATACACGATTTTACTGACCATTTTAATCATCTTGATCAATAATACAAAATGTCGGCCGAGACGAAGATGGGGGAATCAGAGAGCTTTTTCAGGGAAGAGGAGACGAAGGGTTTAGGGGAGAGGGGAGTATGCATGAGTTATAAGTTCCTTTCTTTTTTTTTATTACTTTTTTTTTCTCCTTTTGATTGTTCTGTGCTTTAGGTTTAGATGGCGGGACAATTAGGGCGATGTGTAAAAAAAAAAGACGACTCAGCAATCCTAGCTTATGTGGCATGCTAATTTGATAAATAATTAATAATTAATTTTTTCCGTTAGTGTTTGGACGGAAATTTGGATGGAAGCACTTAAATTGTACTTAAGTGGTACCCGGTGCACTAACTAAAGTTAAGTGGTACGACTTCACCAAATAAAAAACTTAAATGGTAGCGGGTGTATTTTACCCGCATTTAATCACACTAAAACATTTTCTCTCGGCTTGTATTAACTAAATATCCATTTTGGTATGAAATCGATGATGTTACCTATTTTGCTTTTAATTACACCAACACATTTCAACTACTCTTTATTTCAGTTTTTCCACATGCTATGCGAAAGAGGAAAAAGTTCACCTTAAACTTCGAATCTGAATTCTATTGAAATAGATGGTGTATTGCTAAACCAAACCCTTATTCGCCAATCCTTTATATCAGATTCACAAATTCTAAATCTTCAAAATGATGACCTAGGTACGTTCTAATTTTCAGGCTCGATTCTTTTAATTATCTATATCCAAAAACTTTCTATTAATCTATTTTATTACTGAAAGGGAATAAATACAGAACTGGGGTAATAATTACTTGGCTATCAAGCAACTAGGCTGATAAAAGAAAAACCAATCAACTAATGGTTGCTTTGGCTAAGCAGCAGCAGTCGCCACCTTGATAAAGACGTCCTCCAAGGTAGTGTCCGAGATGCCCCAAGCGAAAACCGGGAACTCGGTTTTGGCAATCTCGACTGCCCGGAACACATCTGCAATTCTCACTTCCTGTTTTGGCATCTCAAACTTCTGCGTTCCAGATAAATGGTACGTTCTCTCAGCACTCGGGGAAAGCTGGCCTACCATCTGCCCCACTGCTTCCTCGTGGTCTGCTGACGTCGTCATCGTGAACACATATGTCTCTCCATATCTGGCCTTCAGCTGCCATATTCACAAATCACCAACAGATAGTGTCCCGGAAGTGAATATCATGCCAAAGGTGGAAGAGGAGAGAATAGGTCAAGGTGAGCTAAGTAGTGAACATATTCTGGATACCTCTTTTGGGTTCCCTATACACTGCAAGCCACCATCAACGAAAATTCCTAGCCGGTCACAAAGTGCCTCGGCTTCTTCCATTGAGTGCGCTGGAAACACATGTTGTGAACGATTAGGGTGTTATCAAGACTAGGAGTAGTATGGGGAAATGAAAGGGAGGGAGGGATATTGAGGGCATACTGGTGAGAATAATAGCTCGGTCTTGCTTTGCACGCTTCAGAACATTCCATAAACAACTTCTTGAAGCAGGGTCCAATCCAGTGCTCGGTTCATCCATATACACAACCTTGCACCAGTTGCCAAAATTGATGATATTGTGAAAACTGGAAACAAGAATATGTAAAGTGTGATTTATGCAAAACATTGAAAGGAGACTCTGGCATACCTTGGGATCCCCGATCAGTGATATGGCGACACTGAGCCTCCTCTTCATGCCTCCACTGTACTTCCCAGCTTGTTTGTCAGCAACCCCTCCGTTAAAAAGATTTAAGCTTCTAAGAGAATCTTCTACTGCCTGCAGCGACCAGATTAGGGAACAGTTAGCATGGCTACTTTACTAAGCAGGGGAAAAAATCAGATTGTTATCACTGCAATGCAGCTATCAGAGAAAATTGAGCTAGAGCGCCCCAATAGAAACACAAGGCTGGTTAATACTCTCCAATGAACCGTATACCATTCTCCTGGGTTTTATTTTCATTCTCATAATTATGCACTCTCAATTATAGAACAAAGCTATAACATGCTCCACTTTACCATGGCTCAGGGTCACAACTATAAAATATTAAAAACATTGGGAGAACTTATTTGATTTTCCAGCTATTGACGATTGGTGACTCTACAATGACTTACTCTTGTCAAGGCGGAACCCTTCAGATTCTTTAGTCTTCCATAGAATAACAGGTGCTCCCTTCCCGTCAAAGTTTCCCAGAGCAGGCTAAAATGTTCAAAGCAATAAGAGGAAAAAATAAGGACAGTGTTCTTTTGTTGGTGACAGTAATCAAGGTTTCTGCAAAATAAGAGACCAAACTTTGACTTACTCATGCTGGGGGCACACCCCAATGTTGGTGTAAACATAATCCATCTGAGTCCGTATGTCCAAGCCTTGAACATATGCTGTACCCGAGCTGGGCTTCGTGAGCCCAATCATCTAATCAGAAGAGTTAAAAAAGAGTTTAATTCATGGAATCTAACTGCAATAGAGATGAGGTGGAGCAATTACGAACTTGGCAACAGAGAAGACTTGGGAAAGAATCATGCAACTATAACAACTATGATACCGCAAATCGTTCCCAGATCTTAAGCATATGGAGTGTTATTATTCTCTGAACGACAATGTTTTGGCTGTGTTTTTCTTTAAATCTCAGTGCCTTGTTTCACTATATAGGAAAATGTTAACTTCAGGCACAAATCTATCTCGTTTCACCCTCCCCCAGTCTTACTGTCGCAAATTTACTGCTGATACTATTAGAAATGTGAAAATGAAAGCAACAACTAGGATATCGGGAAAACAATACTGGCACTAACCATACTAATGAACGATGTCTTTCCTGCTCCATTTGGACCAAGCATACCGAAGCACTCCCCTCTAGGTAACGCAAGTGACAATCCTTTCACCGCCAACTTTGCTGGGTTTCCATCTCTCCCTGGATACACCTTTCTGAGGTTGTCACAAACAATTGCATGAGTTGCATTTGGTTCTAGCAGCAATTGCTCTACCTTTTCTCTCTGCATCATTCAAAGAAAATGATATGAAAACTTACTCCAGCAGAATTATGACTACAAGAAGAGACAAAATCAACTAAGAACAACTGCATGATAATCTCTTGATCAATTAGTACTGGTAAGAAAAGCACATTCAGGCAGAACAAAATTCTAGTCAAGCAAGATGAGAAAGGTAAAGCAACCTCTTGGATAACATCAGGTTTCTCCAGATTTACAAAAACTTTAGATCCCTGTCTTTTCAGACTAGGCACGCGGAAAGATCCAGGGTGTTTCTTCCCAAAGTTCCTGAAGAAAAATAAAGGACTTTTCCCAGATGTCAACACTTGGTCCAGGTAATATGCCACGAAAAGTGCCACAATCCACTCCACAGACATGATAACGAAGAGTTCTTTCATCCCATTTTCACTGTCATTCAAATCTTCCCAGCGCATCCCATCAGTTCCTGTATTGTTCCCTGTTAGAGAATACTGGGCAAACTCGTATAGCCCACGATACAGAGAGAAGCCAGGATACAACTCTAGCACCTTTAGCCAGCCTCCTGCAGCAACAAGTGATATCCAAGCATGAATAAAGCTGAAGCAAACATAAAAAAGAAAAGCACACAAGAAAAAGAGCAGTAAAAAACAGAGTCAGTTATGACATGTGTAGAGAATTGTGAAGGAGAAAACAAAGCAATGGCAGAAGGCTAATAAACCATCAAAATACTAGTAAGGTTTCTCCCAATCATGAATATTCAGAAGAAGCAGCACGAACCCAACAAGATCCTTTCAAGAAAAATTTCACTCACGTGGAAATGATGCATCCTCAAGGAAGTTCTGATAAAGAAAACCACCTAGAAGTCCGGTTCCAAAAACGCATATGTAGGAAACAACTGCAGAATGTAAAAGAAGATCGTTCAATCATCAAGTAATCATAAACGAGCTAGCCAATATATCTTCCATATACAAATGAGATAGCCATGCCAAACCTGTAGCAGTTTTAACATTTGAGAAGAACGCTGCGACTAGAAATGCCAAAGAGATTTGAAGATTGATATAGATGAAGTAGAACACAAATTGGATGCTGTAGTCGTTCAGTGTAAAGAACTTCAAACCTGCATTAAATCTGACGCAGTAAGTAACATAAAGGGATGAAATATTGATGGCATCAACAGTTTGAAAGTTACCTATAACTGAACCAAATATCACGAAAACCAACATATACAACAATGATATTGCGAAGAAGTATGCATATGAAATCATCCAATAAGGCCCATCACCCAGCCCATGCATTTTCATCATAATCCTTAGTCTTTGCTGCTTCTCATATACCAATGCTGTCAAAATCACCTACATCAAATGCATAAAAACATAAATTTAACCAATATGAATACTAATAAAAAATCATTTATAACCAACTCAAATATTCTGTGGAGTCATTAATTAAAACTTTATAATACATCTATTAAAAGATATATTTATCACACTTGTTAGAGAATACAATGCCCCCTGCTCTTATCTTATTATATGACACAATCAAAGCAGGGGAACTGGCTTTCATAATGGACAGGATCCATGCCTGAAGCTTAAAATTTAAGAAAGCAATTGGCAGTTTAATTATCCTGTACTAAACTGTATGGCCTTTCTGTAAAGGGTCCTCTGACTAATATAAAACATTAGAGAACCAGTTACTAAAGCAAAGTTAGTAAGAAACAACTTCCAACGCTAATTCCTGGCCATAACTCCATCCATTCTATGTTTTCACTTTTTTATTCTCGCTGCTGGCTCCTGCTTTATATTTATAAGTGATGATACATCCAGGAGTACTGAACTTGAGACGTGTCAACGTCCAAAATCACAAAGCTAAAGCATTAAACTAGAACCTCATCTCAGACACTGTAGAACAAATCTGTCTCTTTTAATCTTTATAGTAGTGGATTAAGGCTCCAAACCAGCAAATGCCTCCAAACTACCTCCCACAATATCAGAAGTTATTTTTCACAAGCAAAAGCATAAAACAGAGAAGGATAATGGTGCTACATCCGAAACCAGCTATGAAGTGATGATTATTTAACCAAGTTTCACAATGTATAGAAACCAAGGTTTCATTCTTTTACATGAATATCTGTCATATCAAAAAAATTTGGTCACGCTAAGAAAATTCTATTGCAGAGAATACGCGATTATATAAGCTATCAGTTTAGGACTTACAGGGAATAGCTGTAGAATGACCCATGTAAAAAAGAGTGTGCCCAGAAGAGATGATAGATCCAACCGGAAGTTAGTTTCAGGTTTCGGCATTTCTTTGACAAACTCAAGTGACATTCTTGCACTGGGCCCTTTTAAGAGCTGCAGATATGCATTTGAAACCTGTAGATGTACTACTTCAACATTGGTTATATTACTCTATGATGGCAACATGAGAAACTCAAAAGACAGGACACGGATAACTAAAAGAAAGGTTACGAAAGAATAAAACTTTACAACTGTTTTCAAAAATGATAGATCATGTAGAGGTCAGCAAGTGAGTAAAACAAAATCAAGCTATTCTGCTATTTCAAATGAAATTATTTCCAACAACTCATAACTACAGGCGCCTACACTTGACGTAATTTAAATGGCATTGATATGACAGACAGTAAATAATCACCTAACATGACTTCGCTAGCAATCAAGGTTCCACATTTACTTGGACAAAGAACAAACTGTTTGAGGAAATGGATGTGAAGGACAGAAAACCAAAATAGAAGGTGAATCAATAAAGAGCTACTACAGTGTTCATTTTCCCCCCTATTTCCAATTTATCATTTTTTATTTAATTTTCTGTTAGTACTATGTGTACATAAGATTGACACAAGTATGGTAGATCTCGCAAGTATATCTTAATGATGTGCGATTTAAACCTCCAACCAGATTGCAGCATCCAACTCAACAACAGAAAAGACCAAATGAATGTTTTCTTAGCAGATACCAGATTGATCATGCGTGGAACACGCAGCAAGTTGAATGAACCAGGAGCATCCTCATCCTTATGAGTAGAGTTGTACCAGATGCTCACATTAAAATTATTCCCATTAGAGTTCAAGAAATCATATGCTGCATACGAACGACAGTGTTACAATCCTTCAATTAAATTCATGACGCATGCAAACAATGATCATCATGTGGACAGGAAATTATACCTGCAAGTATCTCATTTATCTTCTCCTCTGGATTCCCCTTGTAATAACCTTTGTATAGCTCATCATTTATATCAGATGCACTATTGCGCCACAAGTGCAGACCTTGAACACATTGCACCTCTGTCATGAAATCAAGAATCAAAGGAATCTTAGACTCAGAATGTTATGGATACACAAATACAAGCTAGTAGAAACATGTTTAAAGAATGAACTAGCTGAAATTACAATCATAATGTTTCATTAAGACCAAAGATCTTCTAAACCAATCATTCATGAAGATTCATAGTTCACTACCTTTGTACCCTAAACTATTTTGGATTGGCCCATATACTAATATGGTCCTTGAAGTTTTTACCTTTCTGGAAATCAATGATTGGCAAACTGAGATTCAGAGAGAATGAAGAATTAGTTCCACACTGAGGTTGCACATTGTAAAGCGGAGAATCATCAATAAAAGCAGGGTCAACAAAATTATTGGATTCAGTCTCTGTATCTGATCCCTGTAACATAGGAAGTCCAAATAGAAGCAAAACATTACTACATGAAAACAAAAGGGCTCAGAAAATCGTAATTCGATAACAAGAAAATACTATTTTAAGTTAATCTGAGACTGATTCAGACAAAGGAAACAGTGAAACAGATAAACAACTTACAATTACTGAGCTGGCTAAAAGGTCTGTCATGGTTGAGAAGTTGACTCTGGGAGAACTGCTGAACATGTTTCCAGCCACACCTATATTAAATTGAAACTATGATTCAGGTCCAAATGCAAGCAGATTGTCGAGAAACAAAATGAAGCCCTAAGGGAACAAACAAGCAAACAAGGACACAATCAGAGAGAGAGGAAAAGAGGGATGTACTTTCTCCAAGAGACCGATTGTTCCCCGTGACAAGCACAGTTGCAGGACAGTTCCCCATGAGTCGGCAAGACTCATCTGGCAAGTCTCTAAACGGAATGAAACTAGATTTCACTGCTCGATACTCAGGTGCAGGAACTTGTAAAATGGGAGGCCATTCTGGGGGATTTGTAATAGGGCAGGAGGCAGCTTGATCCGAATTTGAGTACTGCAACCCACAAACTTCCTCGCACTTCCCATCGCCATTTGTATCAACGCATGCACAGCCACACTTGTACTTCTCGTTGTCTAACTGCTTATTAACCAGATTCTGACCAAGAACAAGGAGAATGCATAGTATGAATGGAAATGAAATGAGACGACAGTTCGTCTTGGCATTCCGTTTCTGCAAAACAATAGACAAACAAAGGAACCTAACATTCAATCCCGGCACTGTCAAAGGCCAAGTACAAAATCAATTATAACTCGCCGGGCAGGAATCAACTACCACTACCTCAAAACAAAGACAATTCGATTCATTTCTACTAAGCTTTTCCACGCCTTCGTTATATACGCATTTGAATCTAGAATTGAAGTATGAAATATGGAGATTTGAATGAGGGGGAGAGAGAGGAGGGACCTGGTAGGTTAAGTTCTTTCTGAGTAGAGCATCAGCCTGAGTCCAGAAACTGGCACGGCCGCGCGAAGCCTCCGGCTCCACCATGATCGAATTGAAGGTGAAGCCAAGTCTTGTTCTCCCGTAACGGACGATCCGAGTGAGTTAGAGACTATCAGGACTAACGTGACAGTCACAGATTTTCCCGCCAAACAACCAGGAATAGCTTTTCAGCCTGTAAACCTTCCCTAACTTCTTCTTATTTCTCAATTCTCTTCACTGCGTTACTCGCCGGAGTTCAAAATTGCAGGCCTCTAAGCTCTCTCTTCTCTCTCTCTCTCTGTGACTGCTAGTTTTACCACTCACTCTCGTCGTCTCTGTTTGTGGTGTTTCGTAAGCCGAGTAGAAATGTGCAGCGGCGGAGAACCGGCGATTTATATGCGTTTGCTGAGCTCAGTTATCAGGTAACTCGTCCTGAATGAAATACCTAAAGTACCCCTGCATCGGTGTATTAACTTCGGGTTGCGGGGATTCTATTTATTTATTTTTCTTTTTCTTGAAAATTACGTTAAAGACTTAAGATCAGCGGAATGCGCGTCTGCTGAGTACCATGATCGCTTATGTAATTATGTTCTTGTTTATAGGAATCTGATTAATAATTGCTTCTTTCCCGGTAATTAATTGCTGATAATTTGCCCTCTGCCTCTGCGGAATGTCGATACTGCCCTTCGTGGGTGCATGTGTTTGGGTTTGGTGCAACTCCACGCGGTGATGCTGATAGCATTCATACAAACGGTTAGCTTGCCATTTGTATCTATCTATGCACCAAGTTCTCCGTATTTTTCCTCTGTTTCAGGCATTTTAGGAATATATGCACTATTAAGTGGAAACAGTAAACCCTAGTTAATCGATGTTCTATTTTTTTCACTCGTACATCCTCTTAAGTTGCGCTATTTATGGAGTGCTTAGTAATACTCCCACTTATAGAAATAAACATCCGTTCAAGATAATTTCTCAGCACAAATTAAGATTTAACTATTTCTACCAAGAAAACGTAAGAGATTTAATTAGAACTTAGGATTATCTGGTTATAAGGAATATAATTTAGATTAAGAATTTTATATTTATTATTATAATTTATGTCTATGTTTGGCTACACTATTTGAAGTGTTTTATTTTTTTTCCCCTTCAAATGTGAAATCGAACTATATGCCTCTGTAAATCGAGCTTTTGAATAAGTTGAAACGTGCTTATATAACATCACACGCCAAAATTCCGAATTCATGAAACTTCTGAGGAAAAAAATGGTTTTGAAAAACGACATTACCTTATTATATTTTCCTATTCGTACAATCCTTTCTATGGGAATGATATCATACCCACCGGGTCTAAAGATACAGACCCAACTTGCAGAACACTCAACCGGACATTCCACCAAGATCTCAAGTCTAAATTAAATTAAACAAAAAAACCCCTTCTAAAAATCGAATTAGTGTTGTCTGTGTTGATAGATTCCCAAAGATTGAAAAGTTGTTTGGATAGATCAATTGATAAACGAGATAATTTAGTCAATTGTCTCATTTTACGAACTGAGTCAATTTGAATTATTTGTCACACACCATACATTTGTAATTGTCTCAAACGAGTCAATTCAAAATTCATCTGGTTAAACGGCTACATTCAAATTCAAATTTCATGTTGTTAAACGAGTTAATTTAAACCATTTATTCAACCAAACAATTGTATCAAACTGATATATTAAAATCATTATCTAAACGAACTCAAAATTATGATACGTTAACGGAATCAATATTTAAATAGGTTAATATTGAGCATGGACCGGGAAACCTATGTATTTTATTTTCGCTGTCAAAGAAACTTGGAGTTTAAGAATCTAACCCAAGAGTCGGAGTTGGGTACATCTATACCAACTACCACGAGCAGAGATCCATTGTATTGCGACAGGAGATTTCATGGAAACTACCCATGCAATTATTGTACTAAACATAGATGCTTCAATATTAACTACTTCCAGTTCCAGTTTAGACCAAACACAGAGTAATAACGTTGCGGCCACAGATAGTATGGACATTTATTTTGTACTATTATGCTTACGTTCCATTTTAGACCCAACACACATAGACTGTATTGGTATGGACACTTAATACGATTAATTAATGAAAAATAACAAATTAGTTAGTCAGAGGATGGAAAGCCAAAGACGCAAAAGTCTAGATCTGTAGAATACAAATAACTATTCCGGCGAGAAGCAAGCGATCGAGTAGTACTATTCTATTACGTTCTTTTTTTTTTTTTTTTTTGTATTGACTGGATTTGGAGTTAAAGTCAATCACGCCAAGAAGTGCTTAGTTAGTAACTGGATCTATGTGATAATATTAATAATAAGTGCAATGCGCGTCTATAATACACTCGGGCAGTTGAAAACTGTTATGGTCGTCTACCCATGGCCATGCATCATTCTCATGCTGCTATAGGACCGTGGTTTGAATGTGTGCTCTATATGATGAGTCCCCGTGAACATCAAGGAAGAAGACACGTAGAATCGATGAATTAACTCACGAGAACAACATGTATTCTTATTGATTTCACGGATTGTTAGAATGTATCGGTGTTTTCTTACCTTCATGTGTATAGGAATTCATGGTAATTTTGCCCAACCCTATAGGATATGTATATCCAATTTTGTTGGGTTGGCCGCAAAATCCAAAATTAACATAAATGGGCGTGTAATACTCATACCGATTCAAACTTCCCAAGCAAATGCTCAAACTCGTATATTCTTCGCTCATATTTGAGTTTATGTGGGTTTAGATCGAATTACCCATTATGGATAGTTACCATTCTTACATTACATGCACATGGCTTTTAATTAAGTGTTTTCATGAATCCAACAATATCAAAGGAGTCAATGTACCAAATAAGCATATTTTTGGTCTATTTAGATAAGGATTTTAGAATTACATTCCTTAATATATTTCCGTCCAAATTCAGGTGTCCTCCATTTATGTACAATGCTAGTGCACGATGAACATTGTCAACTCGGTATGAGCAACCTTATAATTGCACCATTTTTGGTTAAAATTTTTGCTCATGCGTTCTCATTTCGTGACTGATGAATTTCCTTAAACTTTCAAAACAATATATATTGTGCATATAACATATGTCTTCCTTAATTTGACGATGGACAAATTTAACCTTTTTTGCTGGATCATTCGGTTTGTCCACAATAACTTGAGAAATATGGGATATTTCTGCTTGCTTCAAATAGTAACATAATTAACCTATATTTTTAGCTTAAACGAATCAAGACAACAGAGATAAACATTTAAGGGTGTTTTGTATGAATCTAAAAGTTAATCTTAGTTTTTCTTTAAGAGCACTTCTACTATGCTATATAGTATTGATGCTTTAATGTACAACTCAAAGTTGTACCATAACATTAAATGTATAAGTTTAGGTTGTACCATAAAGCAATTTGTATCATTATGTTATGGTACAACTTTACAACTTGAAGTTGTACCATCACAAAAAGGTACAAGTTCAAGTTGTACCGTAAAAGAATTTGCACAAAAAGTATAGGTACAATCTGAAGTTGTACCATAACATAAATGTACAATTTTAAGTTGTACCATAAAGACAAAAACCTATAGCACCAATACAATATAGCATTGTAAAATTTCTCTTTCTTTAAACCACACTAGTCTTGATTTGTGCCTTTTTCTTGCGTCTCCATCCCACCTTGGTAATATTTGTTGCAAGTGTTGTACCATGTGAAGTTTTTATAGTAAGTTGGGTAGTTTGCAAAAAAGGTTATGATGATTTAACTTTTTAGAGTTTGAGGTATTGAATCCACCCCGAGTCCCTGACCCTCTCACATGGAATAAACAAATGCAAAGATGAACATTGGTTACAACGTAAACAAGATGCCTTACCAAGAAAGATTTGCTTAGTACGACGTGGTCAAATGAGAAACAAGCATTTTCCTGCCAACGTTACAGGAAGATGAAAGCCAGGCAAAATCTGAACAAAATAATAAACGTTGACTTCACCGTTGATTATTCTATCGTCCCCTAAACTTTACCAAAACTACAAATCCCCCAGTTTTTGCTTTTGCGCGTCCGATGTCACCGTCGAAGATAACGAAGTTAACCTTCCAAAATGGCCTTCCCCGTAATTACAGACCCCCAACAGGGCCAAATTCGTAAATGACAACCTACCACTCCACTCCCGCTACCCGCGCTAGCAACGTTTTACAGCTTCCCCGGCCACTCCTCCGTCGCTCTATTTAAAAGCAGGAAGCAAGGCACCAATCAGCTTTTTCAAAAGCACAAAATAAAAAAGGAAAATCGAACCCAAAAAAAAAAAAAATTCGCTCCTCTTTTTTCGCGGCCTAAATTGAAGGCAGGCGGCAGCGAAAAATGGAATTGCAGAGGGGAAGCGGACTACTGTACCAGCAATTCAAGGCGCTGTTCAGAAAGAACCTGCTGCTTTCATGGCGGAACAAGCGGGCGACCTTCCTCCAGCTATTCTCCTCCTTCGTCTTCATCTTCCTCCTCTTCTGCATTCAGAAGGCCATGAACTCCTCCACCGACTACACCACCGCTTACTCCTCCGTCAGGGACCCCGCCGCCGCCGTCTCCCCGCCGATCCCTCCCTGCGAGGAGAAATTCTTCGTCCGGACCCCCTGCTTCGACTTCCTCTGGAGCGGCAACGCCAGCGCTTCCGTCGGCCGGGTTGTGAGCCGCATCATGGCCAATAACCCCGGCCGCCCCATTCCAGAAGCTAAGGTAACGAAACCGGAATGTTCTTTGAAATCGAAGATGTAAATCGTGATTTTTGAGTTCGAGATGAAGTGTGAAAGGCTCGTGCAGGTGAAATCGTTCAGGACGACGGGCGAGGTAGATGCTTGGCTTTTAGCTAATCCGATGCAGTCCCCTGGCGCTCTGCATTTCAGGGAAGTGAGCAGCGGAGTAATAAGCTATGGTATTCAGACCAACTCTACATCGCCCGGGAAACGAGGCCGGATGGAAGATCCCACGTTGAAGTTTCAAATCCCGCTTCAGGTTGCTGCGGAGCGTGAAATTGCTCGGTTTCTCGTCGGAGGTTTGAATCATTTGCCTGGAAGTTGCTCTTCTGTTGCTTATATACTTTGCAAATTATGCTTAGAACTTTTGAGTTGATGTCTTGCTTTCCTCTCTGCATTCAGATCCTAACTTCGGATGGACGGTTCAACTTAAAGAATATGCACATCCGGCGGAAGTGTTTTTCTCAGCGTTGATTGCAGTTGGTCCTTCCTTCTTCCTTGCATTTGCCATGTTTGGATTTGTGTTGCAGATTACTGCTTTGGTTACTGAGAAGGAGCTCAAGCTTCGCCAGGTTTGGCTCCTTGGACTCTCTCTATATGCTTGAGTAGTCTGAACAGTTATCCACACTCAGTATGTTGTTGGTCTTTAGTCTTTTATTACATTGATCTGTATTCTCTTCTGCAGGCGATGAGTACAATGGGCCTTTATGATTCTGCATACTGGTTGTCATGGATCACATGGGAGGGAATAATTGCACTGTTCTCAGCACTTTTCTTGGTTCTCTTTGGAATGATGTTCCAGTTTGATTTCTTCAAGAAAAACAATTTTGCTGTCGTTTTTCTTGTGTTCTTCCTTTTCCAGTTCAATATGGTGAGAAACTTGATGTACCCCCTTATGTGCTAGTCATGTGTCATTTCTGCTTTATCTTAACTTCTTTCTGATTTTCTGGTACTTGCTCCAGATTGGTTTCGCCTTCATGTTGTCAACCTTCATTAGCAAGGCATCTGCAGCCACAACTGCCGGATTCTCTTTGTTTATCATCGGATTTTTCACTCAGGCAAGATTCTCTTTCAAAGTTTCAATATGGCCACTAGAAAACATACATGAACCAATTAATTGAAACACCAACAAATAGACCTGACATTGACCTCAAGCCCTTTGATAGGTAACATGAGACAAAGCCAGAAAACTAGTCAACTTTAGTTGTTGCAATTAGATGCTAGGTGATGATTTTATATCCCCAGCCTTCACAATCCCTTGTGGCTGTCAGAGTACAGCTTCAACATGGAAGAAACATATTACATTAGCCCTAATGTGCACAACTCCTTGTGATGGTAGGTAATGAGGATTTTTCCTCCGGTCTGCAAACTGATAACTAGTTGCTCACAGGATTGCTCATTTCATCCATGGTGCGGAAACCTGTTCATATAAACTTGCTCTCAGTAGTCAGTATACGTGGCTGAGTAACTAGAAAAACATGTAAAACTAGTAAAACATGCATTCTGCATTTCAGTTCTTGACTGTGAACCACTGCATTTGCCAATATGGTGGCACAATTTGTTAGAGATAATCAAGCAGCCAGAGGAACTTGGATTATGGTTGCCAAAGCCCTACTACAACACTCTTTCCACTAATAACCATGGATGAATAAAGTAAAAGAAACCCTATAGTAAAGCTGATCACTTCCTAGTTGAATAGAAGGTGCATCTACGATCATTTCTATTTTAAGAATTTATTGTGACAGAAAAGATGCCATTATAAGATAATTGCTGCCGGAAACAGTTTAACTTGGGCCTCTGATTTTTCTTGGCAAAATATTATCAGATTTCAAATATGAATGAGTGCTGCTTGTTCTCTGACACTTAACTCATTCTTATGAACTTTGCAGATTGTTACTATATTTGGCTTCCCTTATGATCTTGAAACTTCCCAGACATTAAGAAACATCTGGTCACTGTTTCCGCCCAATCTTCTTGCGCTATCCGTGAGACAGCTTGCAGATGCCACTCGTACCCCAGAAAGAACTGGAATTAGCTGGAGCGGGAGAACAGACTGTATATCACGTCAAGATTCCTCAACTTGTGCAATGACAATTGTGAGTCAATGATGTAAAGTCTGACTAGAAGGGAACACACACTTGAAACTTATAACAGAACGCAGTCATGTCTCTTTTTTCCTTAACTCTTCGATTTAATACTGTGCTTTATCCCATCTGCTATCTACAGAATGATGTCTTCATATGGCTCCTGGCAACATTCGTTCTCTGGTTCATTTTGGCAATCTACTTTGACAACATTATCCCAAATGCATATGGAGTGAGAAAATCTGTGTTTTACTTTTTAAATCCTTGGTACTGGACAGGAAAAGGTGGAAACAAGGTGAAAGGTAATTTCAATTAGTTTCCAAATATTACTCAAAGGCCTTTTACATTGCAGAGGTTCCAACTGTTTCCTCTTTATCTATCTAGAGGGTGGCATCTGTAGCTGCATGAGCTCAATACCACAAGAAGAACAGATTACTCCAGATGATGAAGATGTCCTGGAAGAAGAAAACATGGTTAAGAAAGATGCAAGAGAAGACACAATGGATTCAGATATTGCAGTTCAGATACGTGGACTAGCAAAGACATATGCTGGAACCAGGAAGATAGGTTGCTGCAAATGTCAGAAAACTTCATCTTACCATGCCGTTAGGGTGAGTAAAACCTTTCCTAGTCTTGCTAACTCTGCAAAGGTTGAGATTCTACATCAGTGCCTTTAAGTACTGTACTATAACTATCTCGTAATTTCGAAATGATTTCAGAACTTCAATTGTGAATGCTGATATATGGTTCTTGATATAGACTATTACTTAGATTTTTCCGGATACTCATGTTGGCTCTCTTGTGATAGACACAGAAATCTGCTCAGCGTTTTCTTTTTCTACCTATTGGAAGAGATAGGTGAAGACCTGAGATCTGAGTTTGTATTGCATTTTGGTAATCTAATTACCCCCTTTTATACTTGTTCCACAGGGATTATGGATGAATATCGCTCAGGATCAATTGTTCTGTTTACTTGGCCCCAATGGAGCTGGGAAAACTACAGCAATCAATTGCTTGACTGGAGTATCACCAGTGACTAGTGGAGATGGTAATTTTCAATTAACTATTTCATTTTTGGTCAATATAAGAAAAGACTGATATACAAAACATGGAACCTAAAGATAATTTGATGTGCTCCTCGTTTGACAGCTTTGATTTATGGGTATTCAATTCGAAGTTCTGTTGGCATGTCAAGCATTCACAAATTCATGGGAGTTTGTCCCCAGGTGAACTTCTTTTCTCAATGTTTGCGCATCATCTGCATGTCCTTATATGCAATGGGGAAGATGTATATGTTCGCATTAGGCATTCTTGTACTGTTTCTTTGATTAGTTGTGTATTGATGTGCAGTTCAAGGACAGCTAAGCATGTACTCTGGATCCTAACTTTTTACTCTGCATGCAGTTTGATATTCTTTGGGATGCATTATCTGGTCTGGAGCACCTTCACCTCTTTGCTACCATTAAGGGCCTACCCCCAGCTTCAATTCAAACAGTAAGTTATGGGGAAGCATGAAAGTTGTCTTTCTAGCTTAAATTCCTTATATTCAGGATTGTTTGTTTTCACAATCATTGTCCATGTGTTAGACGCCCCATGGTTCTGCAACTTCTTTGGAAAATCCTTTGTGTTTACTACAGGTTGCAGATGAATTGCTGGCTAAAGTGAAACTTACTGAGGCAGCTAGGGTGAGAGCCAGGAGCTATAGTGGAGGAATGAAGCGTCGGCTCAGCGTGGCAATAGCCCTCATTGGCGACCCCAAGCTAGTCATTTTGGATGAACCAGTATGCATGGAGAACTGTTTCATGCTACATTTTGATGTTACCTAATATATAGTACATTTCTTAATCATTTCTTTCCGTTTTCTTATCGACAGACTACAGGCATGGATCCTATATCCAGAAGACAAGTCTGGGATGTAATACAGGAAGCCAAAAAAGGTCGTGCAATAATTTTGACAACACATTCAATGGAAGAAGCTGATGTCCTGGGTGATCGAATCTCGATCATGGCGAAGGGCAGGCTCAGATGCATCGGAACTTCCATCCGGCTGAAGTCGAGATTCGGTACCGGTTTTGTCACTAATGTGAGCTTTGGTGAAAAGGTTAATGGCCAAAGTCCTATAAACCAACCCGTCGATAGTCCAGCTACTCATGAAGACGTCAAACAGTTCTTCAAACACGTAAACGAATCAACCCGACTTGCTCCAACTTGTTTAACATCACCCTACTCATTTCGTCTCTCTAACTCCCTTATTTGACCTGTTACAGCATTTGGATGTGACACCAGCTGAGGAAACCAAGTCGTTTATGACTTTTGTCATCCCTCATGATAAAGAGAAACTTCTGACAGTAAGCCTTTTCGGAAACTCCTACACATGTTGTTCTCTTTGTATCATTGCTTCCCTCCCTAACACTTCAAATCCTTCTATCAGAACTTCTTTGCAGAGCTTGAAGATAGACAGGCAGAATTCGGCATAAAGGACATTCAGCTCGGTCTTGCAACGCTAGAAGAAGTGTTCTTGAACATTGCAAGGCAGGCTGAGGTAGAAAGCGCCACAGCAGAGGGGCGCTTCATCGCTCTGAACTTGACCTCCGGGACCTCCCTTCAGGTATGTGTACGGTAGCAACTCAACTCACTTTACCAGGCTATGTAAAAACAGTGAACTTAACCACCGTGATTGCTGCAGATACCGGTCGGGAGCAGTTTCGTCGGAATTCCAGGCACGGAATCCACCGAAAACCCGAGAGGCCTCATGGTTGAAGTGTACTGGGAGCAAGATGATACAGGGACACTTTGTGTATCAGGACATTCACCTGAAATGCCTATTCCTGCTGATGTGCAGCCGTCGGTGCCTGCCGCAGCGCCAGCTCCAGGAGGGACCAACTTCTTGGGCCGGACTGGGCCTGTTTATGGGCTTATTATTGATCCAAATCAGATTCGTGGGGCTGATACTCGATGATGCTACGCTGGTATAGCTTCTAGTTTTGTTGATATCGTGTTCGTGTTGTAGAGTGAAGTTTAGGGCTTTCATTAATTGTTTCTCTCCCCACGGAGTATAGATGATAGGTGTGAGGTATACAAGTCGATGGTCTAGGGCGGCCGTCGTTAGAGAAAGAAGAATGTAATGCAGTTGTGTGTTGTTGGTACAAGTATTTTTTTGGTAATAATTAGTGAAGTTTATGGAGGTTCACGTTCATCTTAGATCCTGAGCGAATGATTAAGGGTTTTTACCCTTTTTCTTGAGAGGATTTTGGATGGCCTGATCGCTATTTCCTGGAAGATAATAGTTTTTGACGGATATGAATCTATCGATCGATAAGGGATTGATCTCATCCACCTTCAAAGAGGAATTAGACCTATTATGGAGCATTGTGTTCAAGTCGGAGGCACTAAATCCTTGGAAGGATTGTTGGGTTGCGAGGCTCCAACTTTCTTGAATTTTAGGCAACTTTTCTTTGAGAAGCTAGTGATAACTTTTCTTTGGTTACTCTATTTCTCCTGAATTTACATCTACACAATATATTATGCACTTCACATTTCACTCTGTATCGTTATTGCCACCTTGCATTTTGATTGGTTCTCTTTATTTGGTGGAAGAACAATTTTGCTCATTTTTCAAACACTCAAGGGTCACTCATTGTTATTGGACTTTTGGTTTTCTTTTTAGTAAATGCGATTAGGATTAAGGAAAAATAAAGGGTTAATTGCATGGTTGGTCACTGACATTACAAAAAAAGTTTAAGTTTGATCACTCGAAATATTTAAATCCATTGGTGGTATTTCAGTTTACTGAAACCGTTTATGTTTGCTCACTCTCCGTCCAACTCCGTTAACTTTGGTTGATGTGGCAATCAACTCTCAAAGTTGACCGTTAACTTAGTGATGTGGCATTTAAGAAATAATAAATAAAATTTATTTTATTTTAATGTACAACTCATTTTTACCATAAAAAATTAAAATAAATAAATAAATATTATAATCTATTTGACCCTACTGCCTAAATGTATATGTTGTTCTTCATTCCCACCAAACTTCCGAATGACACAGGAAACTGACCAAATGAAAGGGTGGGCCCTAGTTATCTGAAATCGAAATCAACCATGAAATCGGAAAATTGAACCCTTACCCACAACCTCACTTAAACCTAACAAGCAGCAAGAATAGGAACATGTGTGCGGCAATTACCAAAGGAAAACCTAAACCAATTCAGGATTAGAGGATACATTCATCAAACCAAACGGAAGAATTCAGAATCGCTAAGCGATGGAATTCAGAAAGGTTTCAAGAACGAATTAAAAAGAGAATGGGCAAGGAATTGGCAGGAGAAATGAAAAACTCACCATCATTTTGAGCTTCAAACAGTCGATATGTTCAGCGCTGCTAGCAGGAGGGAGGGCGACAGTGGTTCGAGGACGTAGGTGTCTTCAAGGGCCGATCTCAGAACAAATCTCCCCCCTCGTCCTCTTGGGACTACAAGAGCTGGCGGCGAGAAGACGGTGGTTTGTGTATGGAGAAAGGGAATGAGCTAGCCTCAATTCGGTGGAACCTCTAGCGTGGATCGAAGACCCAGAGGAAGAGCAAGAGCACAGACAACGATGGAGGGTAGAGCGAGGAGCTTAAGGAAATAATAAAATAAATATATATTTTTTTATTTTAGTTATTTATTTATGGTAAAAATGAGTTGGACATTAAAATAGATTTTATTTTATTTTATTTATTATTTCTCAATTGCCACGTCACTAAGTTAACGGTCAACTTTGAGAGTTGACTGTCACATCAGCTAAAGTTAACAGAATTGAATTTTTTTTACTCTATGTAATTGCTTAAAGTCGAGATAGGATTTATTAGAACATTATTAAACGTAATATATGGTCCAATCAGGGGCGGATACATGAGGGTTTAGGGGTGTCCCGGGACACCCCTAAAATTTGAGAATACGATTATTCAACCCCCGCTAGTAATTTTGTATGGATAAAAAATTTATTATTAGTGATTCGGGATACCCCTACAACGATAATCCTATCCTCAGTAGTAGTTTGCGTATACTTTAAAAACATAAGCGATAGTCTGTGTTATTCAAACTTAGGATATACTATATTTTTTAAACATTGTCCTCCATTAAATTGCCACTCATTTGTTGTTCTATTTTAAACACTACATAATAGTAAAAAGTTATTCCTTATCCCCGACTATTTCCAAAACCTAACAATTAACTACCATTAATTTGAATTGATTTTATGATTACACAACAAGTATTGAAAGAGTCTTTTCAACTTTGAGTTACATAAAAAACAAGGTTAGAAATCCATATACGATCAGTTCGTGAGCTATTGTCTAGTAGGATATACAGATTTGTTGAGCAATTTATCAAGCCTATTTTTTATTCCTTTTCAGAATATAAAAATACGTCGTGGCCTTATGTTAAAAACTAGTCCGATATTTTTTTATTTATGAATTATTATTTTTTATATTTTTTTGAAGAGGGCACCCCTGTTAAAATTTTCTAGATCCGCCACTGGATCCAATAGAATAACTTAAATGCTTCTCCAACCTATCTACGCTATTATTTACATCTCAATAGCTCCATTTACGATTACAAAATAGTTGTTTAATGATAAACTATTAATAGTGAGTCGTTGAAAATTTTTCATCAAGACAACCGCTCCGCTTTTGAAAATATAGGATATATTTAATAAAATATTTAAAAATATGAGCATATTGTTAAATGTTAAATTTGAATTCTGATAACAAAAGTTCAAATGAATGAATAACTTACAAAGGCCATTTCAAGTCAAAATATTCTTTTGCTAATATTTTTAATTTTTTTGTCTCTTTCAAGAATATAAATTTAATACATCTATACTAATATTTTTGGATTTGCTTTACATAATTGTCCAAACAATCTATTTTCATATCAGATTTTTTTCTCCTCAAAATTTTCTATCTTTAAAGTATTTAAATGTAATACATCTATAGTAATATTATGTACATTATTTCCTTTTTAATTCAATAGATTAAAATCAATAATATATAAATTAAAATAGTGATAAAATTTACAAAGCTTCATTTGCAAGCTAATTATTCACAAATAACGAAGATAAAGTTAATGGGCACTAAGAAACATAAACTATCGAGGTACTCTTTTGTACCACCAGTGCACAATACTTAAATTGAAACACCTACGTTTAACTAAAAAATACCCGGATGACCACAAACTGGCCAACAGGCCAGATACAATGCTAGTTTTCTCAAGAAAGACCAAGGAAAACTTAGAGATTTCTTCCCTTAGAGCTTCCCTCAAAGGAGGAAGATATGGAAGAATTCCCATTCCATAATGATAGGAAGAATTGGTGGTGAAATTAGGTGCACAATTTTAGTTCGTACGGGGCAAATGGGAGTTGGAAACGAGAGAAATTAAAGACTAATGAAGTAGGCGCAAAAATATAATTTATCCTTCATTTTCACCTTAAATTCCCCATTGAATTTTTAACCATAAATTTGGTGGAATAAATTCAAAATTTTATGCTTCACATAGCTGGATGTTTTTTGTGAAATAGATGAGGATTTTGTTTAGTGAATTATGGCTTCCCAACAATTTTAATAAAAAATACCATATTGTCGTAAAATATTGCTAATTTGATGGCCACCCCTAAACCTTATCTTTATCTATTGTTGGATTAGACATCTATATAAGGAAGGCATCTTTACTAATTACGTACACCAAGCGGTCCAAACCGGCCGGTCTTCCAGTTCACCACTTCACCTAACATAAAACCTACCGGCTTTTGGTAGTTTGCTCCCCGTGCACGTGAATCGTGATTTCAATGTATGATTCTGTCCTATTTTATTTATTAATGTATGTAAATATGTAATAATATTACTTGCACTTAGTAGTAGTGAACCATGCATGAGGTCAAAACTAGTGAATGAGTTTGCTATGCATGCAATGCAATGCTGCAAATGTGCAACTGTGCAAGAGATGCAATAGAGCGAAAGGTTGCTTCTAGCTCCTCTTTATCACCTTGCGTGCATGCAAAAATGAGATTAGGGATTTTGTGTGCAGTTTTGTCCGAAGTTTTATCGAATTTTTTTGCACAAATGTGATTTGTGTATTAAGAACAATTATAGATTTTTTCGGGCAATTTTCATAGTAGGAATTCTAACGTAATACACGGAGGGAGTTAAACCAGTCTCATTTGTAATCAAAAGTCTAAAATGTGCCAAAGTCCTTGATGAGATATTTTAGTAAAAAAAAGTATTAATTAAATTGCTGCTAGATAGTTTGACGTGTAGTTAAGAAAATAAGGTTTTAAGAGATATTGAAGGAGAAAGCATGGGAGACTTTTAAAATGACAAAAAAAAATTTATTTATAACATAAAATATAAATAAAGGATCTTACTGTATTTCTTTTATATTAAATAATATTATTTAATAGTTATTATAGTTTTTGAATGATATAAAAAGGTGAAAATATAAAAAAATGTAAGGATAATCTTATATATGTAAAAACAGCTTTTGCACAAACTTCAAATGAAAAGTTTTTTATGTTATAATTTTTTATTTTTTCAAATATCGGGTTTGGGCAAGTTTTTGGAAGAAAAAAACACTTCTAAATGTAACTCATTATATTCTTCAATTCTGCACATATATTTGTGTTGGTTAATTTATATAAAAAAATACTTGTGCGGATTAATGTGTAGAAACTTGAATTTTGATGTGGATATGCATCAGGGCTGATTTGCTGTAATAATTAGCAATAAATTAATAATTAGAACACCCCCTAATTTCGCTTTTACTTCGTACATTTCATTCCCATCTCTTCCCGCGTAAACTTCCCCGGAAATCCCGCTTTCTTCACTAACCACTTTTCGCGAGAAGTATGAAATACTGCTGATCAAACCCTGAAAGCTGATCATTTCTCCATCCCGATTTGGCAGCCAACCTCCCCGCTCCAAATCCGGAAAAGGAAGAATCACTATCCGAAAAACAACCGAAGCAGCCATCTCCCGGCGGCGAATGGAACTGCGGCGGGGAATTCCCCTGCTTCTCCAGCAATTCACCGCGCTGCTGAAGAAGAACCTCCTGCTCTCATGGCGAAACCCGCGGGCCACACTGATCCAGCTCCTCGCCGCTTTCATCTTCACTCTCCTCCTCTTCTGCTCCGACAAGGCCACCAACAACGACTCCTCCGCCGCCAACACCCCTGCCGTCAAGCACCCCGCGGCGGCGCCGCCGCCGCCGATTCCTCCCTGCGACGAACGACGCTTCTTCCTCAGAAAACCCTGCTTCGACTTCGTCTGGAGCGGAAACGGGAGCGCGAGGCTCAATCGGATCGTGCGGGGGATTATGGCGAACAATCCCGGCCGCCGCATCGCGGCCGCCAAGGTGAAATCGTTCAGGACGAAGAAGGAGGTAGATTCGTGGCTTTTCGCTAATCAGATTCACTGCGCCGCGGCTCTGCATCTCGGAGAAGTGAATGCGACGGTGATAACCTACGGCCTCCAGGCGAATTCTTCCGATCCCAATCGGATGCTCGGTAGCCGCTGGAGTACGAATCCCGCGTCCGAGTTCCTGATTCCGCTTCAGGCTGCCGCCGAGCGCGAGATCGCTCGGTCGATTCTCGGAGGTAATTTGATTTCTTCGAAATTTTTAGGTTTTCTGATAGTCTGATTAAGTACATTGAGAGATGCTGGCTGCAATTTTTTTTGCAGACCCTAACTTTAAATGGACCGTCGGAATGAAGGAATTCGCGCATCCAGCTGCTCCAATTCGTCAGCCGGGGACGTCTTCTACTACCTCTGCGCCGGCATTTTTTCTAGCGTTTACCATGTTTGGATTTGTTCTGCAGATAAGCGCTTTGGTTACTGAGAAGGAGCTCAAGCTTCGTCAGGTCTTTGACACTGCTCTTTTGATCTCTCAGTCTTACTGTTTGGTTTCGATAATTCGTATTTTCCTTGGCTTGATTTCTCGAAACAGGCAATGAGCACGATGGGGCTTTACGATTCTGCTTACTGGCTTTCCTGGATCGTTTGGGAAGGAATCTTCGCAGCAATTTCTTCACTTCTCTTGGTTCTCTTTGGGCTCATGTTCAAGTTTGATTTCTTCTGGAAAAACAGCTTCGCAGTTGTTTACCTCGTCTTCTTTCTCTTCCAATTTAATATGGTAATCAGAATTCTTCTTGGCAATCATTACTACTACTTTCATGTTCTGGTTTGTGCTTTGTTTAACTGTTAGGGATCATACAGGTGGGTTATGCTTTCATGCTGTCAAACTTCATCAGCAAGGCATCTTCAGCCACAGCTGTAGGATTCTCTGTATTCATCATTGGATTCATAACACAGGCAAGCAAGCCATGGAACTCTCAGAGAAAGAATCTCTATCTAGTTTGCGGGTTGTTAACGAAAGAGCTCTCTGCTTACTTACTTTCAGGTTATGACCTCGGATGTTTTCCCATATGCCTCAAACATTTCCATCACTGTGAAGACGATCTGGTCATTATTCCCACCGAACCTTCTTGCTATAGCCCTGATGCGGCTTAGTGATGCTACTGAGGATCCCTCAGGTGTTGGTATTAGCTGGAGCAGCCGAGGAAAGTGCCTCTCAGGCATTCCTAATTGTGAAATGACACTTGTAAGAGATCTTGTGCCACCCTATGATCAGTTCTGTTCTAGATAGAATCATGTTCTTAGCTTCATTTTGTTAGTTTATAATCTCGGCAGAATGATGTCTACATATGGCTGCTGGCAACCGCCTTTCTCTGGTTTGCTCTTGCCATCTACTTGGATAACATAATACCCAATGCATACGGCGTCAGGAAATCCATACTTTACTTCCTAACTCCTTCATACTGGATAGGAAAGGGTGGAAACCAGACGGAAGGTAATTATGCATTTACTTACTATGTTATTTTTACACACAGAACGTTCTCTTGTTCGTCATAATAAGCAGACTGCCATTTTCCCTTTATCGTTTGCAGGAGGGGTTTGCAGTTGTACGGGCTCGCTTCCTAGACAAGAAAATGTTACTCCAGATGATGAAGATGTGCTTGAAGAAGAAAACACGGTGAAGAGAGATTTGCTTGAAGGGACAGTTGACCAAACGGTTGCACTTCAAATACGTGGACTTGTGAAGACTTATGCTGGGACTAGAAAAGCTGGAGGTGGTTGCTGCAGCTGTTGCAGTTGCAAGAAGACTTTGCCTTACCATGCTATTCGGGTGCCCTACAGCTTGCTTAGAGCTTTGGAACTACCTCTCGGAGAACTTTGAGATAGCTAACTTCCATCTTATCATTGCAGGGCCTGTCGATGAATATTGCAAAGGATCAGTTGTTTTGTCTGCTTGGACCCAATGGTGCAGGGAAAACCACAGCGATCAATTGCTTGACTGGGATTGCACCAGCAACCAGTGGAGATGGTAAAATGATTTACTGTTAAGTGGTGTATGGATTTTGCCAAATGTAGCCATTTGGAAAGTGATGAACTGTAACACTTTCTTCCTTTTTGGCTCCAACATGCCAGCAACTCTTAAATGAATCCAAATTGGTAAGCCAGCTTCAGAATGAATATACTAAATTGACTGTCTTTTCCTGGACAGCATTGATATATGGGCACTCCATCAGAGGTAGCGGTGGAATGTCCAGCATCCGAAAGCTTATGGGCGTGTGTCCTCAGGTCAAGTCTCTCTATCTCTCTGCCTCTCTGCATTCTGGAAATCATCTGATTCTAAATTTCGCTTTCTTAACTGCAGTTTGATATCCTGTGGGATGCCTTATCTGGCGAGGAACACCTTCACCTCTTTGCCAGCATTAAGGGGATTCCCCCGCCTAAGATTAAAGAGGTAGCTAAGGAACTGTTAGACAAAGTCAGACTTACCAATGCAGCCAAAGTAAGATCCAGGAGTTACAGCGGAGGAATGAAGCGACGGCTCAGCGTTGCAATAGCCCTCATCGGCGACCCAAAGCTGATCATTCTGGACGAACCAGTAAGCTTCTTCATTTTTTCAACTTTCACCACCAACAGAAAGAACAATTTTCTCAACTAAATCCATTTCAACAAATCTGCAGACTACCGGCATGGACCCTATATCGAGAAGGCACGTATGGGACACGATACTGGAAGCAAAGCAACGCAGCGCGATTATTTTGACGACACATTCAATGGAAGAAGCAGATGTTCTCAGTGATCGGATTGGGATCATGGCTAAAGGTAGACTACGTTGCATCGGAACCTCCATCAGGCTGAAATCAAAGTTCGGTGCTGGTTTCATTGCTAACCTCAGCTTCGTCGGAAATGCTGACCACCGCCAAGATGAAGTAGAAGAAAACGGCAATGCAATTCACCAGGAGGCCGTGAAGCAGTTCTTTAGACATGTAAGTATCAAGTACCGAACCAAGCTTTTTATTTACCTTCTGCGGGTTTTTCCTGGTTCTGATTTTGCTACTGTGATGCAACAGCATTTGGCGCTGGCGCCAACAGAGGCGACCAAATCCTTCATGACCTTTGTCATTCCTCGTGACAGAGAGACGCTTCTAACAGTTGAGCATTTCTGCAAATTCATGTCTTTCTTTAACAACCCTTCGAATCTGTCATCTTTATCTAGTACTTAAAAGAGTCCCTTGTCATCAGAACCTGTTCGCCGAGCTTGAGGAGAGAAGAGCTGCGTTCGGAATTGGAGACATTCAGCTCGGCCTGTCGACCCTGCAAGAAGTATTCCTGAGAATTGCCAGGGAAGCCGAGCTGGAAACCGCCACCGCAGAGGGGCGGTTTCTAACCTTGAACCTCAACTCCGGAGCTTCGATTCAGATACCGGTGGGAGCCCGGTTCGTGGGGATCCCTGCGACGGAGTCTAGTGAAAATCCCAGAGGCGTCATGGTTGAAGTTTACTGGGAGGCGGATGATGGTGGTTCACTCTGCATTTCGGGTCACTCCGAAGAAATGCCCATCCCTCCCAATGTGCAACCGACTGTTCAGGCAGGGGTGGCACCGGTGACAAAAAGATGCTTCTTTGGCAAGAGTCAACCGGTTTATGGGATGGTAATTGATCCTAATCAGATCACACAACAAACTAGCTAGCTAACCAATGTATCAATCTGGTCATGCTGGTAGGTTAATTTAACCGATCTGATTTATTCTCGACGCAGCTTGCTTTACATCATCCATAGTTGTTGCGAGTAGATTACTTCAAAATCAAATAACCATTCAATGCTATTTTTTCTTTCTTAGTTGTTCAAGAAGTCATCAATTCTGATCAAAAAAAGGTCCACGCAAAACTCATTACTTGCTAACGCAAATTTCACCCACCCAAATGAACACAATCAACCAGACGAGATGTCGGATTACGAAAGACGAGCAGAAGAGGGAATCCAGATTACATTATAGACAGCCACTCGAGTCGAACTGACGGAGAGAGGGGTAGGGAGAGACAGACACAAAACAGAAACAGTTTCAGAGAAGGATGAGACAACTTCTCATAGCCTATGATGTCCAGACACTCTCAGAAAATAAACGCAACATGACAACAAGTTGAGACTTGAGAGATTAAAATAGACTAAGGGGCCAGACAGTAGTAACTTACACAGCCAGCCAACAAACCCTTCCCAGCTTAACAAATATAAGACCCCAAATTATGCATATTCATATGGTCTGACACTCTGTCGACGCAAACAAAACCTACTGCGGAACTTGAACTCCGAGAAATTTCCGCTAGCAATCCTTAAAATTTAATTGGGAACTCTGGAGATTCGTTGATAACTCACCTCCTCCACTCTGCTTGGGTTCCTTTCACTGAAACAAGACCAATGAAAACAATGGTCAGTTTCTATGAAACGGATAAAGTTTCACTACACAATTGATAACAGAGGTTAGTAGTTCATACCATTTCCATCTCTTGAAGACAACACAGTTTTATCCACTTTGTTTCCTGCCTTGCCTCCGCTGCCATTGACAGGTCGTTGGGTTCTCGGTGACTGGGAGCTGATCTTGGCATTAGTTGAGGAGGGCAAAGAGTGGCGCCGTGTGGAATTGCTTTTCTCACCACTATCTTGTTGGCTGCTGCTGAGTCTTGGGGAGCCCTGTGCTCTCAGCTTGGCCTTAGCAGAAGCAGTTGCAGCCATGTAACTCGGAATTGATGGACTACTAGTATTCTGCATCCCATTCTCTTCACCATGTTCCTGCTTCCCTTGGGTAGTAGTAGTAGTAGTAGTAGTAGTAGTAGTAGTAGTAGTAGTAGTAGTAGTAGCTTTCTTGACACCAGACTTGTGGTTCTCGTTTCTTGCAGGATCCTCCTTGCATGCATCCCCATTGGTAAAAGCAGTAGTCTCTACTTCACCATTACTTTCAGTTCCAACTGGCAGCGATTCGATTGAAGGCTGATCGGTCTGCAGAACTTCAAACATTTCTTCCTTTTCCAGTGGCTCAGGAGTCTTTTTTAATGGAGATAGAGTTAATGTCGGTTCAACTTCAATCGGATCAGCTTCTTTGGATGGTGTCACTTTCCTGGGCTTCTCAGCTGAACTGTTCAGTGCCTGACTGGACACAGCCTCAGTTGGCATTCCTGGCGCACTCGATACCTTCTCGGAACTTTGCTTTGGCTTCTCGCTAGGAGCACTTGACGCCTTTTCTGCAATTGGCTTCGGCTTCTCTCTTGGAGTATTTGACACCTTTTCTGCACTTGGCTTTGGCTTCTCGCTGGGAGTGCTTGAAGCTTTCTCTAAGCTTTGCTTGGGCTTCTCAACGTCAACCTCAGGTTGAATATTGCTCTCTACTACTGGGTTATGCACCTTCCTCAAGTTTCTTTTCACCTTTTCAAGCTCACTTTGTGGGTTTTCCTGAACTGCATCGACTACTGGATGGCCGCTGGTGATCTTCCTGAAGCTACGCTTGGGTTTCTCAGTTTCCGATGCTGCTTGCCCCTGAACAGTATTGTTGTCAGTATTAGCAGCAGGAACCCTCCTAACACTGCGCTTTGGTCTAGCAGTTTCGGTTTCCACCGCTTGGCTATGGCCCTGCTTTCGTTGCTGGGGTTTTGAAGGATGGGTTTTCTTCGGCAGCTGTGGTAGCGATTTCCAACACTGAGATGCTGACCAGCGTTCCAACCAGCTCGGGACAGAATTCGGTTGAGCAGGTTCATAAGATAGGCGTAGCGGCATCACTGTTGGTGATGACAATACAAGCTGGGAAAACAGTCACATAAAAGAGACAATTTTAGGGATGAAAGCACAGCCAAATGCTATAAAAAAAATTAACACATGCAAGAAATAGATGAAGTGAATAAGCAACATGCACAGACCACTACTGATTTAATTTAGGCCACGACTCTAGAAAGGATGATTATACAAAACAGTATTCACTGAGTTATTCATACCTTACGAACAAAAGCATTTGTTGACCGCTTTGCTACAAGGACAGAAACATGAACACCGGCAGCATCAACAGCTTTTCCATCCTGATTAACAGAATCTCATGTCAAAATTGAGGGCATGTAGATAAGAAATTAGATACTGCAGCAGTCGAGATGCCATGCAATAGTCCAATGGAACAGAGATGGAGAGGTTCAGATGTTCTTCTCCCGTGATTTAATTAGTGATGTCTAAAATGCAGGACATGAGCTTTCTTATTTATCAGTAAGCTTGTTCGGGTGGTTTATCACTGCTGCATATCTCCAGTGGAAGGTGAGAACAACTAACATAGAAATGAATCCCTCTGTTTCACACCTTAAATTTCTATGTATACTAACCAACGTGCTAGTTCAAGATGTAAAGACCCCTGGCAATGCCATTTATTTTTAGTTATAAGAATTGAAGTAAATACTGAATCATACACGACCTTACCTACTTCCACTGTTCTATTTTCAAAGTTCATATACAAAACTACCCCACTCAAAGAACCACTATAAGCAAGTAACCATTGCAACATATTTTACAATAAAAATAGTCAATGATGGAAGAGCTCCTTGCAAAAGCATAAAGTTTATAACGGGTATGAAACTCAACAGAACTTGAAGCCAATTAACCATATTCAAAGATTTTCAAAGAAATTACCCGAGCCTTCACAAATATGTAAATCCTGTGTATCTCTTGCCCAATATCAGAGTTCCTGACAATCCTCCCTCGAGCAACTGCCTGCAACTTGACAATTCCCAGCATAGAGCACAAAGTAGCAACAGCTTGTCTCCTGACCAAGTGCCCACGGATGAGTGCCTGTAGTCTTATTATGCCTTTGAGGGCCCGGAACGCTCGGCGTGCCTTCACAGAGGAGAGTAAGCATCAGTACATGCATGACTATCAATACAGTTAACAGATATTGTTTGAGCTGAGTAATAAACAGTAAACGATGGACTACACAAGGTGGCTAGCTTATCAACTGAGATGACTTTTAACAAAGAAATGCCATTTCTTTCAACAACCACCACAACTCTTTTGAAATGACGAGGAGGTGAATTACCAGGTAACCCCTAAAAGCAGCTTGTGCCACAGTCGCAGCTTTCTCTTCTTTAATCTTTTCCGGGTCACATGTCACTTCTTCAATTTCAGAGCCTTGTAAATTACTATCCTGATTTCCAGATAACAGCACTCCACCTTCATGTGGTGGGTTTACATTTTCCTTGTTCTCTGGTTCCTCCCTCCTTTCAACTTCGTCCAGAAAGTTGGGGTTTGTTTGAGACACCACAGAAGAAATTAGCGTGATGTCAGCATCTGATTCCTTAGCAGAAGCCAGAATCTCTTTCTCATTTGAACCTCTCTACACAACCCACACCAGAAGAAAAGAAAAATTAATAGCAGAATCCACTTCCCAACATCTAAGTTGAAAGATCAATGCCAATCAACAAATTACGCTGCATCAGAACAATACAGAAACAAAAGAGCAATTTTTAATATACAGGGGACAGCACATTCTAACAGTTATGGCAAGAATGAATGGCTTCAATAAAGAGAGAGAAAGGTTACAGCCATAACAAGTTGGAATAATTGTGCCAAATTCAACAATCCTAGCTTTACCATAAAAGTATCCCATCTTAAATCATGGCACTTTCCAAAGCTGAAACTTATTAGCAGCCAACCGACATCAACATTCCAAGCATCATTAGCTTCTCATTGCAAGAAGTAAGGTACAGTCCCTAATAAAAGCCTCTACTGTAACAGCAAACGCAAAGATACTGTTCATTGGAAAGGTGAAGCAAAACAGTAGATCGCCTGTGCATGAGCAGAAAGATAAGACATCAAAATTGCTATTGCATTGTTGATCCCTCAAAAGGGTGAAAAATTAAACTTGCACCAAGACAACCACATGAAACTAACAGTCACATGCGAAGTTCAGCAATGTTAACTTTCAAACATACAACTCACCTCCCTTCCTTTACCGCCACTTGATTTCGACGCCGACTTCTTCCCAAACAGTACAGCTTTGATCCACCTCGCAGGCGACTTCACTGACTTCCCCATATCTCGCTCAACAATAAGGAAAATGCAATCGCAAGTGAGAGCTCAAGAACACCCTGCAATGAATTCGTCTCCAGTTTTCAACAGCTCGGCACCACAAATAAACCCATAGAAAGTAAGACAAGTGATACTGTTCAATCCTAACTACCCGACAACAGCATGTGACAATGCCAGAACCAAATCCGTCCGCCATTGTTTCTTTTTATGTTTCTGCAAAATATTTGTTTGTTCGGGCCTTAAGGAAAACGACATAATTGCTCCCCATACCACCGCCCACCGTTGCTAACTTTAATAAGGAAAACGGAATCTCTGCTCACAACGACAAATCCAGGAAAATTACAATAAGAAAATCGGCATTCTCAAATCTCCTTGAAACTAATTCGTACTCCACAGATTTCGCCTCAACACACAGTCAACAGTCACCACTACGCCTGTCTGCCGAATGAAATAGAGAATCCAGTTCAAATGAATCCCCAGAGATGGCCATAGAACACTATTACGAGAAGCTTTTCAAGTAAAAGATCGGATCCAAAATAAGCATTTCCCCGAAGGCGAAAGGTACACCCAGCCCAGATCTGTGACTTACCGAGCAAATGTGGCCTCTGAATCACTCAAATCTGCCAGTCCTGCATCAAAAACACCGCCGGAGCGGCCGCCATTAGAGAGCTTTCCCAAGATAGCAACTGGGGAGGGGAAAGTGCGGGAGGTTGTAGGGGGAAAGGATAGCAGAGTGGGGGAGTAACTTAAATAAAACAAAAGGAGAAAGCAGCAAGGGAGAAAGAGAGAGTACAAGAGTACCAACCATGAAGGGGAAAGCAAAGCTTGAAAACGAAGGAAACCAGGAGGGTAAAGAACTGGAAGCGAGATCTAAAGCTGCATTGCTTGCTTGCACCCGCTTTGCTTCTGCTTTGATTTGTTTTTGTGCTTGCTTTCTCTCTCCACCTGCTCGCCTCTGTCCGCCTCTACTCTCACTCTCTCTCTCTCTCGGTAGAGAGCCAAAAAGGCAAAAACCAATTTTTACGATTTAAAACTTGGAGAGAAAATTTATTATGTGTATAGGTGAGGTGGGGAACGAAGGAGAATTATTTCTGTGCGGTGGCGTTTATTGTCGGTAAACTCCAAATATCCACTTCTTGCTCTTGCGAATGAAATCGGGGATGTATATCGGTGTGTTTGTTTCTTAATAAAGTTTATTAAACAAAAATTTGGAGAAATCAAATATATTTCTCTCACATTTTTTTTCTATCTAAAATTTTCAAATCATTGGGCATTTCAGAATTCACAAATAATTGAAAAATACAATCCACCTCACCAAAAAGAATTTTGTTTTGTTTGGTTTGAAGATTTGATTTGATTTTGACAAAACATAATTTCATTACGGAATAGTAAAGTGGTACAAAAATTGAACCAATCTCAAACTCAAACAAACACCATAACATAAACCTAGTGATGGCAATAAAACCCGAACCCACGGGTACCACCCGACCCTACCCGGTCAACGTGGGTAAAATTCGTGTTGACGGGTTTGGGTTTTAACATGTTCACTATTCATCGGGTTGGTTTGGGTTTGTGATTAGATAAACCCGACCCATGGGTACCCGCCCACACCCATATAATTAATTTTCTCGATATATTTAATATTCTAAACAACTAGTCTTATTTATGTTTGTGGAGACATGTCCAATTTTTTCTTTCTAATTGTGTAGAATGAAGTTGATGTTATCGAGTAGAAAGTGAAGAAACTTAATTGACAACAAGTCTTATTTATGTTTGTGGAGACATGTCTAATTTTTTCTTTCTAATTGTGTAGAATGAAGTTGATGTTATCGAGTAGAGAGTGAAGAAACTTAATTGAAAGGAAGAAGCTTTCAATTAATCATGTTATTTATGGATAATTTGTGATTTGCTTCAATTATCTTAAGTTTTTTAGATTGATGTTGAACAATTTGTATAGTTAATTTGTGATTTGGTTGAATTTTCTAGAATGGTGTTTTATATATGGATAATTTGTATTGAGAGATTGATATTTGACTTTAATTTTGATAGGAACTTGTTATTGTAAATTTTTTACGACAAAAACCCGTGGGTACCCATGAACCCGCGGATACCCAGCGGGTTGGGTTGGGATTGAGTTTTTCGAACCCAGTGGGTTTTACCCCATATTTTTTTCACGGATAAACCCATGGGTTTGGGTTTGGCAAAACCCAACCCGACCCATTGCCATCCCTAATAAGTCCAATTGGCTACACCCACCATAACAAATATTTGGTCCAACATCAACCTAACCCACAGAAAGCAATAGTCACCGCATCCCCTTGTTGCCTATTGTTGCTACCTTCAACTAGGGCTGCAAATGAGTTGTTCGACTCGGAAAAAATTCGTTTGAAACTCGACTCGTTTACTAACAAGCTGAGATTGAGCTAAGCCCTCTGCAACTCACGAAACTCGTGAGCTAGCTCGACTCGATGGCTTGTTAAGCTCAACTCGTGAGCTTACTTGTTTAGAGCTCATTATATGTCTCAACTCTCAACATTGTGGCTAGAGAGCCAACTCGATTACCGACTTATGAGAAAATCAATCTATATGAGTTTGATTTTGATAATTCATAGAATTGTTAAATTATATATCTCTCCCTATATTAAATTTAACATGTAGATTATGTGAGTAAATATGTCTTATTTAATTTTAAAAAGGAATTATGTATCATAACTTGTTTCGATACTATAAAATAACATAATTTTCACTAGTAAAAATTTATGAACAAAATAGTTTAATATTATAAAGTATAACATGAGATTAGTTAATATTGAGCACTTAACTATTATTTTTTCATCTTGAAATTAATCACATGTAAACATGACGTACAAAATGAATATATCAAATACGATTCAAGATTTTATTAAGCAAGTTAGCTCGAATTCGACTCCACTCAACTCGTTTATAAACGAACCGAGCTCGAGCTCCGCTCGTTTATAAACAAACCAAGCTCTAACTCAAATCGTTTATAAATGAACCGAGCTCGAGCTCATCTCGTTTATTAATGAGCCGGGCTCAAACCGAGCTAAAACTCGGCTCGACTCGACTCATTTACAGCCCTACCTTCAACCCATCGCCGCCCATTCCCACTCATCCATCACATCGACAATGACTAGAAAAATCACAACTTACCAGCCCCAACCACAGGCGAATCAAAATACACCGCTGAAGCGAGAGAAAAAAACAACCTCAAAACATAACTTCACCCAATCATAAAAACTTTACCGACAACAAAAAACAAAGAGATGTAAAACAAAGACCAAGGAAGGAACGAGCCAACAGAACAATAAGAGCAAGTGTGACACTTTAGACAAAATTCACATCGACAAAGCACGAGAGAGATTCATGGTTCATAAGTAAGATACTGACCTTAACTGATAAGATGTGTTTTGGTATGAAAGGGAAGAGTTCTTGTAAGAACTTTAAAGTTAAATGTGCTCACTGTGGAAATTGTAAGGATGGGTGACCTTACGGGAAGTCACCTTGATATGCACCACAAAGCTAAATCCATGAGGGCCTGAGGTCCAAAGCGGACACTATCTTATCGAAAAAAGGTTCCGGATGTAACAACGAGTCCCATCCAGGCAGCCTTAAACGAACCTCCACATTGCCAATGTCACTAACGTCACCAAACCCCTCACCACCCAGGAATAGAAACAGAGCCACAAGATGACCACATCCCAGAACCCAACCAAATGAAAGTAGAACCAAAGTTAACCAACCCAAATCCAACGAATTGTTACACCATTTTGAGTGAAGCAATGAGAAAAGCTCTAAAAGTCAAGAAGGAGGATGTAAATTGCAAAATAATTCCCTATGCACACCAAGACTGACTTAAAGATCCATAAACATATCTGAAGTATGATAGGAAAACCATATGAGGAAAGAGGTTTATGAAAAAATCCACAAAATGGAGATACCAAGTTGGCACATGCATACTTTTAACGACAATGTTTTCATAACCGAACCGGTGTATGAACCGGTACAGTAAGCGGCGCGCACTTAGTGATTCAACCGGTATTAAGTCGTTATAAACCCGTTAACGAACTGGTGTCTAATAAATAAAAATATTATAACTAGAAAGTAGAAATCATTTATAGTATTATAATTATATATTGATTCTACGATATTTGTAACAAATAATTTTATGACAAGTAAATATTATCATTTTACATAAATATAAATTACTTATGCATAATATATGTGATTTTCAAAAGTTAAGAGCACTATGTAATTAGGTTATTTCAAAACTAGACGTTGTATGAACATTTATACTAAGACTTGTTAGAATATACAACACAAATCAGTAACAACCCTACTGGAGAAGGCGTCAAACTCCTCACTAGGAGATGATGTATTCAAACTCCAGCTACCTTACCTTCAATCCCGTCAATTATCATTGTGACGGGTAAAATCGTTCGAGCCGTTGCAACGGCTCGTCCGGTTAACCGGTTGGTTCAGGTACAAATTGTCTGCTTCACTCGTTCTGGATAAATAGACTAATCGGACCAGATTGGAGGTTGATTGCCGATTTTACCGATCGGACCGTCCGATCCGGTGCGGTCTTCACAACATTGGTTAAAGGGTCGTCCGCTTAACCGGTTGGTTCAGGTACAAATTGTCTGCTTTACTCGTTCTGGGTAAATAGACTAATCGGACCAGATTGGAGGTTGATTGCCGATTTTACCGATCGGACCGTCCGATCCGGTGCGGTCTTCACAACATTGGTTAAAGGGTTGCTGACGGTCATCAAAAGTGAAGCCGGGGTACAAATTGTCTGCTTCACTCGTTCTGGTTAAATAGACTAATCGGACCAGATTGGAGGTCGATTGCCGATTTTACCGATCGGACCATTCGGTCCGGTGCGATCTTCACAACATTGGTTAAAGGGTTGCTGCCGATCATCAAAAGTGAAGCCGGAAGCCCCCTAATGAAAGTGGAAGTTAGAGAGATAACATAGTATTTGAAATAGAGAGAGACCATTGGGGCGAGTGTGAAGCCCCATCAGAGCCTCTTGGTAAGCTCGATCCTGAACATGAAGACTGTGGAAAAGCATGAGAAGTATTTGGGATTAGCTACGGTGGCAGGCAGATCGAAGAAGGAATTATTCTCTACCATCAAGGAAAGGGTGAGGAAGAAGCTCTCGGGATGGAAGGAGAGGAACATGTCAGCAGCGGCGAGAGAGATTTTAATTAAATCAGTTGCCCAGGCTCAATTGACTTATGTCATGTCGGTATTCCGTGTACCAGAAGGAATTATAGATGAGGTCCATAGTATGATTATGAGGTTCTGGTGGGGGCAAAAAGGAACTGAAAAGAGAATCCCATGGCTAGCGAGGGAGAAGCTTGTTTGTCCAAAGGCGGAGGGGGGCATTGGCTTCCGAGACCTGCGGGGTTTCAACAATGCCCTGCTAGCTAGGCAATTATGGAACCTCCATCAGCGGCCTGGCTCTCTTATTGCGAGGATGATGAAAGCAAAATATTATAAGAATGGGACCGCACTCGAGGCAAATGTCGGCTACCGACCAAGCTTTGTATGGCGTAGTCTGATGAGCGCACAAGAGTTCTTATGCAGTGGTTTGAGGTGGAGGATTGGGAACGGGGATTTGGTTCGTATCTGGGGAGATCGGTGGTTGCCGGACGTACCAGGTTTCTTCGTTCAGTCACCGCCGATGGGGCTGCCGGTAGACTCGAAGGTCAGTGAACTGATTGATGCAAATACGGAGCAGTGGGATGCAGTACTTATTGAAAGTTGTTTTCCAACGGCGATGGCTGAGTCCATCTTGCGCATTCCAGTGCGAGGTATTAGCGATCCCGATCGGCTGATTTGGGCTTCGAGTAAAACAGGGAGCTATGAAGTGAGGGAGGGATACCGTGTGTGGTTGAAGGAGTTCATGTCTGATCGGGGGTTGCAGCCGATAGGGGAGGCCAATATGTGGAAGACGATTTGGTCCATGAAAACGCCACCAAAAGTCCGCCATTTTATGTGGCGGTTTGCGAGAGTTTCTTTGGCTACGGGGGACCAGGTGAGTATGAGAAGTGAGCGGAGAGGAGATGATTGTCCCTTTTGCAACTTGAGGGAGACACAAGTCCATTTATTTGGGGAGTGTAGTTGGGTCTGCCGAATCTGGCGGGCATCAACTTTAGCCAAGTGGTTTGAGATGAGGGATGATAAGGGATGCTTGGAATGGGTAGCACGAGTGGCTCAGACAGCAACAGCAGAGGAGTTTGCGGACTGGAGTGTACTGCTATGGTTTCTTTGGAAAGAACGAAACGCACATCTATTCAATGGTGCAAAGTTGGCCGAAGAAGAAATAGTGGTGCGCGCCCAAGCTTATCTTGATGATTATAGACAATACCAGGAGACTTTGGAGAACTCACCGGGACCAGTCATGGCGAAAACATGGCAACGTCCAGCAACGGGAAAGATTAAAGTGAATGTGGATGCAGGAGTCGTGGATGGAGGTTTGGGCCTGGGTGTGGTTATAAGAGATGACAGGGGGCGCTTTGTGTTAGCGGCTGCGAAGAAAGTCCGATACGGGGGAGATCCGGAAATGGGCGAGGCGCTAGCAGGGGAGTTTGGTCTCCTTTTGGTGCGACAGCATCACTTGGGATCCCCTGTACTCGAAACGGATTGCCTTACGCTGGTGGGCAAGCTATCGACAGCTAGAGAGGTCCACACTGAGGTGGGAGTTATATGCCGCAGTATATGTAAGCTGATGGAGGAAATTGGGGGAGGCGAGTGGAGACACGTTAGCAGGATGGCAAATGAGGCAGCCCATAAAATGGCGCATGTCAATACGAGATGGAATGAAGCAGAGGTCTGGTTTGATAGACCACCAATGTGTCTGCTCGATCAGTTGAAACTCGATGATGTAACTGTTTCGTCTGATTAATATTAGCTCCGAGCAGATTTCTATAAAAAAAAAGAAATAGAGAGAGACCATGAAGGATTTGATTGATGACTCACTTAAATACCCAATTAATTAAAAAGTGTAATTTGGACCAAATTCTTTGTTTGGATGTGAATGTAGTATTTTTAAGTGATAATCCGAAATTAAAAAAAAATATCTCCTTCATTCTCGTGCTTCTTTGTTGTTATCTTCTGCTTCCTCAAAAAGCAAGCAAAAATCAACGAACAAAACCCAACAACGATCACTAATATGGGAAGTAGATTGCTGGGAAATTTCAAACTGCAACAACAACTTGCACAAATTGAAACCATAACTCCAAAACCAATAAAAAGCAACCCCAAACATGTAATATGAAATTATAACAAACAAAACACATCAACAACCAGAAATTCAAAGATGACCATTGATGAAATTCAGTTAATGAATCGAAATACCCACAACGAAAGAAGAACAAGAACCCAAAACCACGAGGAGGAAGAAGAACCCAAATCTAGAACTAGGATTTCGGAGGATAAGCTTGAGCAAGATGAAGCTTCGACGGAGGATTTTTGATCTCTGCAAACCAGTCTGCCGCCATTCCCATCCAAGTTTCAACAGAGGAGATTTAGCAAGATGAACTAAAATGCAAATATTTTTATTATTTTACTATGACATAATCAATAAAATAACAGATATGTCACATTTCCTAATCTACTTTTTCTCTATCCCGTAAAATAATATTTTCTTCCATAGTTTTCCTCTCCTCCAAAATTTCCCTCCCACATTTTCCTTCCTTCGAAAACAAGGTGAAAGTATTTTCATTTTGTTTTGATTAAATTTTTATGAGTTTTGGGTAGTGTCGTGTAAAAAAATAATAAAAATATCGCATGCCCAAGAGTCACGTAGACACATCAACAATGACTTGTCCATTCATTAAGGACTAACGATTAGTCCTTAGAACGAGGGGATTGCTATTCGTCGCCCTAAAAATCTTTATTCATCGCCCTAATTATATTAAATTTACTCTAATACCCTTAGTTGTTAAATTATACCCGCTACCTGTCACAGACCGGAAAGCTTCACTCATCCCAATAGGTAAGGATCATGATTCAGTTCGATTCCAAGCTACCATAAATAGCTTAGCTCAACATTTCGAGGTAGCCATGTACACAATTAGATCGGAAACCTCATACCCACATTAGAGGCACGGAAAAGGATCAAAACTTGAATGCTAAAAATTGCAGATATAGGTGAAATGTAATATCGAAGCTAGCTACTGATCTCGTTCTCCCACAAATTCATCGTCGTCCCGTCGCCTCTCTTCACCACCTGCCGCGACATTGTCGTCGTCAGCTCCCTCTTCGATGAATCAAGGTGTAGCATTTCGATCGGAAATCCCGACACATTCCCTGTCCACCGTACTGCTTCCTCGCCAGGTGGAACTCTATCCTCCGCTGCATCATCACCGCAGGAACAAACGATTAAGTGGACGCAACGGAAATATCCGCCACCGCCGCCGACGAGGATCCATCTTTAATTTTCCGACCACCAATGCCTCGCTCCTCTGTTCCGCCACTACCAAACTCTCCATTTGGATTCCCCCAAATTATTACCCCAACCGATCCCGCAGACGAATAGAAGACGAGAAGTTGGCGAGATCTCCTCGTTGAGCTGTCTCTCAAATGGGGGAATGGGAGAGGCGGCAGGTTGGGTGACGGCAACGGCGGCAAAATTTGCTGGTGGGGAAGTTAGGATTAGGAATCGAAATTGGAGATAGGGGTATAAACGTCAACCTAAAATGGTTTAGGGCGATTTTTTTTAAATTTTAGGGCGACGAATAGCAATTCAGAACGATTAACACTGATCAACACCAATCGCAATAAATATTTCACACTAAATTTTTCATATTGAATACTCAAAAATAAAAATGAGATTTTTTTATATAATTGAAGTGTTGAAAAAAAAACGAGATTTTTGTAAAACAATAAAAAGAAGGGGTTAATTGCATGGTTGGTCATTGAAATTACGAAAAACGTTCATGTTTGGTCATTGGAAATATTTAAATCCACTGATGGTCACTAATTTTAGTGAAAACGTTCATGTTTGGTCACTCTCCGTCAACCTCCGTTAACACTGTCAATTTTTTACTGACGTGGCTAACAGAATTGATGACTCCCCAATTTTAAACCGAAAAAACCAGAATCTAACCCGCCACGTCATAAAAACTCTAACCTATGACCCAACCCAATTTAAATCATTACGAATTAAAACCGGCCACCTGACCCAACTCTCTTCCCTACACCTCCCGACCCACCTGTTTCTCCCCTGCTGAACAAAGTCCGTCCAGATCTATTTTGATCCGACGAAACTCCGTCGACCATCACCATCCTTCACCGACCTCTTTTCCTATCACCACCGCCATCGCCTTGTCCCTGTACGTTGGAGTCTTGGAAATCACGAGGAGCCTGAGAGGATAAGCAAATCTGCAAATGTCCTCTACCATCTTTCCCCATCTATCACCGGCAACAAATCCCAAAGATCCCCTAGGAACTACTGCTTCAAGCTATGGCGGCGACTGCTGCTTATTCTCGAGTCATGCGAAGACGGCGAAGGGAGGAATCAGATTGAGGAGGGATTTTGAACTAGAATATGGAATTGGGGTTCTAGGGTTAGCAGAAGCAGATGATAGATAGGAGATTCATCATCGGCAGCCACGTCGCCGCTTCAATGAGCTCTGTGAGATTCACCGATAATCTGGGATAAGGGTTTTGTCAATTAGCTCCTCCAGATTCATCATCGGCAGCCACGCCTCCGCTTAAATACCCATATGCTTACTCTGCTCCTGCTCGGCACGGCGGCGGGATCACAATTCATATTCTTCTTGCAGTCGAATCGAAGGTAGCCACCACCTCAAGTCAAGACCATTTTGATTCATTTGCTTTCACCCCGTCTTTCTGAATCTCGACCTACGACGAGTCCTGATTGGGGAGGATTTGTGGATTTGGATCTATCCATGGATCCTTCTCCAGTCATGTTGAAGCTGCCGTCGAAGTGGAGCTCCGTGCAACCTTCTCTCGACGTCAACAGAAAGAAGACAGAAGGGCCCGCGATTCCGAGCCACAATCCAAGCTTCTCGTGACTCTTGTTGCCGGAATTGGAAGACAAAATCTCCGGCTGGTTGATGATTGAACTGTTGTCGGGGATACGATGGTGGTTGAAGCTTCGGCTTCTTGTGGCCTTCTTTCTCTCGATTCACTGCTTTCTTCCTCTGATTATTTTCCAGTCAAAGTGATCGAAATTTTTCCTACAATGGAGATAGATTGATTTGTGCGGGGATGAAAAATCCGATGCCCCGATCTCGGTCCAGTTACAGGTGTTTATCAAGGGAAGAGGAAGACGAACTGAAAAAAACCCCTTAAAAAAGCCCTGATCCCAATCAAGTGATGTGGCGGGTCGGGTCTAATTATTTTCGGATTAAATAGGGTTGATTAGATGATTTCATCTGCCACATCAGCACTTAACTGACGCTGTTAACGGAGGCTGATGGAGACTAACGGAGAGTGACCAAACTTGAACGTTTTTACTAAAATTAGTGACCATTAATGGATTTAAATATTTCTAATGACCAAACATGAACGTTTTTCGTAATCTCAATTACCAAACATGAACGTTTTTCGTAATCTCAGTGACCAGCCATGAAATTAACCAAAAAAGAAGTGTTGAAACAATCTTAGGCTTAAAATAAAATTTTAAAATTGAATTGGATAATCCCAGTTGAAAGAGAACACGACTGAGCAGCTAGCCCGGAAATTTTTGTTGGAGGCCCTTAAAGAGGCCCATGACTTGATGGACAATTATCCACCAACAGTCCGCGCCAAGGTAATGACAATTTATTCGTACGGGTACACCAAACAACAAGGCCCCACCAAAAAGGCATCTCCTCATCTCCAGCCATTGAAAAGGCAGTTCGCCAGTTCCCATCCAAGTTCAACGGCTCTCAGACCACCACACACCAACAATACAATAAAGGGATTTTGAAATTCAAATTTCAACAAACGCCACCTTGTTGGTTTTATGGTTTGATTATAGATTATTAGTCCACCTCATCTCATTTTTAAATGTCCGATATAACTCATCAGGCCGCATTAATTCAATCAAGACAATGAAAAAAAAAAAACAATTGTTTACTCCATAACCCAAAACTGTGCTAACGCAAGTGACCAATTATATATTAACTTTATTAACTTGCTCACTTATATGTTCTCAAAACATAATTCCTCATCGTTGGGCAGCTTCAATTCTTAACAATAATAATAATAATGATACTGCTAATGCACACTTAAGGGCCCAATTTATTCAATTAACTTAAAGGCCCAATTGTTTTCTACTTTGCCATTCTGCCGTTTCAAAAACTTTTTAGGAAGACCGTTGTCCATAGGGGAACATTCTAACGGACGGCTGGATTTCACAGGTAGTCCACGTGTCACAATCTAAGCTGCACAGGGTGAGCTGGAAATGGAAAAATTTAATTAGGGAACGAGAGAAAGATGGGTTTGAAAACTTTTCCCGCCTAAACGAATCGCTGGAATCGGTGGGGTCCTAGGGAGCGTCCCATTATAACTAAGCCACTTTCTTTTCTCTATTGCCCTTTCCTTCTCCAACACAGGCTGTTAGTTGTACTGCTTTACTGTGAACTCTGATTCCCAATTCTGCCACCACCCTCGATCGCGAAAGGAAAATGGAAGCCACCGCAGTCACCGAGCAGAATCAGCAGCCGGATTCCGGCGCCGCTTCCGCTTCTTCTGGTACGAATCCATTTCCGTCAATCCCTTTGTGTCATGGTCTCTTCGATTTGTAGTTGACTTTGTTTACGATGTTGGTGTGTTCGTTTATTCTTTTCTCCCTTTTTGCAGGGGGTTCGATCGGGAGAACGAAGCTGCGATATCCTCTAAGATCCGCGGTGAAGTCCAAGGAGGAGAAACCGCCGGCAGTTGCCGATTCCACCACCTCTGCTTCGTCGAGGAGGTAACTGCTCTTTTTTTTCTATTTACCGTTTACAGTCGACGAACCGGCCTGTAATGGCCATTTGTTTGTTTGATCGTACTTTAGGAGATGGATCGATTGCATCCTGAATTTGTCGGCTAGGCTAACTGATAGATCCGCCATGTGTTTGTAGAAAGTCCTTAGAGAAAAATAGGACTCTCCTTTACCTATTGCCACTTCCCAACTTTTGAATGGAAACAACGAGTCCTCATTATCTGAAAACGGTATTGTCTGGCTTGGGTGTTGTTGTTCGTGCAGGGGAAGACAGGCATCCAGTGTGAGTAAAAGCGTAGGGGTGCTGGATCTTTCTGCTAAGGGCAAATCATCAGCCAAACCCCCCAGAAGACTGTCCAACCCTACCAAGCCCGTCGTAGGTACTCCATACCCTAGGCATGGCGGAAACATACCAGCAATATCTGAGACCAGAAGCAAGAGGAATGCCATCAGCCAAGGAAAGATCGAAACACCTCCTTCTGATGCCTCGAGGGCTTCCGTTCCACGGACCTTCAACAGGCTGTCCTCGGCTTCGTACTGGTTGGCACAGATCAAGCTCTCTGAATCTTCAGCCAAGCACTTGGTTTCTCTGGGTTTCTTCAAACTCGCCCTGGAAGCTGGATGTGAGGTAATAATGTTTACATGCCCATGATTCCTTAATGTTCCTTTCACTTGTACTTGCTAAGAATAGGTGTTGAACCGTCTATTGGCCCTTTTATTATGCCTTAAAATTCCAGCCTCTTCAAAAGATGCGCGATGAGCTCAAGTCTTATGTGCGGCGATTTGAGCTTAGTGAGCTTGAAGAGTCCAAGGAGCTGTTTAAGAAGTACAATATCTCTGAGAATCAAGTTCAAGAGCAGCAGCAGGTGCAAGTCTCAGTTTCTGTGACCTACTCTCAGGCACCAGAAGAGGGAACTCGATCATCATCTGATGAGGAATTCCATAGTTCCTCTTCTACCGCAGGAACCATGAAACTGAGACCCAGGTCGTTAAATGCTGGTGCTCGATCAGTCAAGAAAGAGGCCACCAAAAAGACTGCTGCTGGTGCTACCACCAAGAGTAAAGTTTCTTCACTCTCAAGCAAGACTACCGTGAATAACAAGTCTGTCTCAGAGGCTGGAGCTGGTAAGTTGCAGAAGAAAACCCAGAAGCCAATCAAGCAGGATGCAGTTGTGAAGAAAGGGAAGGATCAGGTCAAGAAGAAACCAGGAAACAAGTCTTCACCTGAAGCAGGCAAGTGTATACTAATTGATTTACCTTCCCCTGTCTTGATTGTATGCGGCTAACATAGGGTTAGTGATTTCTATCTACAGGTGAAGAACAACTCAGCCTTGTACCTGTTACTGCCTGTATAACCGAGGAGAACAAAGAAAACATGGTAAAGCCTAAGCCGGGTCTGTGTGGTTCCATAAATGTGATATGTTATGCAGAAAGCTAATTCCTAGTTCTTGTCCCTGTATAGGATGAAACACCAATGGAGGAAATAGGTACGACTGAAGTCGCTTAAGGAAGAGAGCAATGAGTAATTTGAAGCTATATAATTACTACATTCGTTGGTTGAACTTTTGCATCCTGATTATGGATTTGTCTTCAGTGTTTTACATTAGTGGGGACTTTTCCTTTGTATAGAAAGGAGATCAAATATTATGTTTTTTTTTATCCTTTGAGTTGCTTTAAGTTTGGGTGTGAGGAAAGGAAATCGTCTTTTCTGTTGGTTCTTTTAGCTTGAAAGTTTGTATCGAGAATTCTTGTGGTTTGTTCATCTATGGAGGAGATTGCTTTGGTTTTCTTATGTTTTCTCCCGTCCACTTGAGCTCTAATCTCAGTGAATCAGATATCCCATCACTTTGGTAGCCAACTTCAACATGTTCATCAAGTGTTCTAGGAGTGCCAAGTACTTTTGAGTTTTGACAAGAATAGTTACTTTGATGAACTTGGGACTGGGTAGTCTTTGAGATTTGGAAAGAACTGAGAATTGTTGGGGGGGGGGGGGGGGGGGGGGGGGGGGGGGGGGAATCTTGCAAAGTGGAAGAAAAAGATGGACTTGTTGGGCGAGCAGATTGGGGGAAAAAAGAATATTGCAAAATGGAAGAAAAAGATGGAGATGCAGGGGATCGAACCCTGTACCTCCCGCATGCAAAGCGGGCGCTCTACCATTTGAGCTACATCCCCAGTTGAGGTTCATATAGGATACACATTATTTATAGCGCTCATAAGTGCACACAGAGGATTAGTTTGAGGCCTGTCAATAGTTTGAGGCCTGTGTATTGAAGAAAATCATGGACGTGTCTCCTCCTTTAAATGAAAAGTACTATATATATATTCACAATGCATATATATGCATGGTCTGTGAAACTAGGCAGGCACCAGTGAAATGCTCTCAACTGATCCCCCTATGAACTCTTCGGCAACGGTGGTTGTTCCTCCGGCGAGCAAGCCCCCTGATCCTCCACCTCAACAGCAATCTCAGAATCAAGCACATCCAATCATCGGAACAACATCAAATCCGATTTCCTACAAGAATGTCCTTACGGGACAAAGTTCAGACAGAGGATCTAACTCGAGTCAATGGACGTTTGTAGGGGAACACGACATGGTAGCGGGCACCTTCAACGGAGAACCGGCTCTAAGCTTCTCAGAAAAATTCAAAGAACGCCTTTGCGACCCGTGGAAGAAGACCCTGATTGTTCGATTGCTGGGCCGCACAGTCTCATACTCGTACCTGTGTTCCCAACTCAGATGGAAATGGAAGCCTTCCGGCTCTTTGGACATCATGGATCTAAATAATGAAACTTTCTTGGTAACCTTCAACAATGATCAAGACTACCTTGTGGCGCTAACAGGAGGCCCCTGGGTGATTTTAGATCACTATCTTCTTGTTCATCAGTGGACTCCCAGCTTCAGATCCACGGACAAACCTCACAGATCGGTGGTTGCTTGGGTCCTGTTCCCTGAATTGCCAGTTCACTTCTATCACAGAGAGGTCCTGTTTGCAATTGGGAATCTTATTGGACGCACAGTTAAATTGGATTATCATACAGAGACGCTTCAAAGAGGAAAGTTCGCCAGGATCGCCATCGAGTTAGACATGACAAAGCCGCTCCCGACGAAGGTGTACTTGGATGGAGCAAGCCAGCAAGTTGTCTATGAGAATCTACCTCAAATCTGCTATGATTGTGGCAGAATTGGTCATATGGAAGATCATTGCCCCCAGCGGGCACCAGTTCAGGAACTTGCACTGGCCATAGCTCCAGGGGATGGAGCGACGTTGATGATCCCTTCGGAAAACACTTCATCGGAACCCCCCTCCGGCTACGGGCCGTGGATGCAGGTCACCCGAAAATCTCGGAAACCGACCAAAAACAAAGGGGGTAACTCGGCTAACTTACCTTTTCCTAACGGCATGGATTCAGGGAAACTTCCTCCAAAATCAGGGGGAAAAGGGAAAGGGGAGACAAGCAAAGGAGTGATTTTAGCAGACAGTAAAGGCAAGAAAGAGGCTAAGGAAGATAGCAAAAAAGGGATGCAGAGTAACCAAAAAGGGAAGGCAGAACTTCGGGAAACAGAGGCTTCCAACGGGAAGAAGAAGACCAACGGTAACCAAGAATGGAGGGCTAAGGATATGCCCAACAGGCAACCGTTGCAGACTAAGGTCACTGCAGGCCAAGACTCCTCCACGGCCCAAGCCAAGGCCCAAGCCTCGACCTCAAGCCCTTCTGCGTCTCAAGAAGTTGTCTTAGGCCCAAATAACACAAAGATCCACACTCTTGCTCTCCCCTCTCTGGCGCCCAATCAAAAGGAAAACACTGACCCAAATTCAAACAGGATCAAATCCCGCCAACGGTCTCAAAAACAGAGCAACGATAGCCTGCAGAATCAAGGTCAAAGCAAAGGGGTGAACCTCAAAGCTACCAAAAAGCCGCTCCAAATCCTGTCTTCCAAAAAGAAAGAGTCGCCCAAGAAGCTCATCAATGGAGGATTTCCGATCACTCTTAAAGCTATTGAAGAGTTCTATGCCCACACCCAATCGAAGGCTCAAGAATTCCAAAATATTATCTCGGGGAAGCCGGCGGATGTGGACATGGCGGAAACGAGCTCTGCGAATCCTATTGGAGTTCAAGCGGATAATCTCAACAGTCAGGGAGATCAGAACATTGACCCCGCAACTGTCGCTTAATCGCTCGAGATTCCCTTTTTGTTTTTCTCTGTTTCCTTCCCTTACCTTGTTAGTTCCCATGTCTGTACAACCTAATCTAAAAGTTCTTGCTTGGAATGTTTGTGGTGCAGGGAGTAAAGAGTTTCGTCGGGCTATAAAGCTTCTGATTCAGTCTTATTCTCCTAATTTCCTGCTGCTCTTTGAGCCCCAGATCAGTGGTGATCGGGCAAACAGAGTCTGCAGTAGCTTGGGATTTGGTGAGATTATGAAAGTTGATGCTGAAGGGAGAAAAGGGGGTATTTGGTTAGCTTGGAAACCAGAAGAGTTTGATGTTGAATTAATTGACGCCAGCAGACAACATATCACCGTGAAGGTCTCAAGCGGCGGTCATAAAGATTGGTTGCTTACTGGTGTTTATGGCAGTCCTCAATATGTGTTCCATCAGCAGCTCTGGGAAAGCCTTATCCACACCAGTAATAACAACAAGATTCCATGGCTGGTGACAGGCGATTTCAATGCCTACCGACTCCCCTCGGAGAAATCGGGGACTATCTCTTCTGCCTCCCTTAGACGGTGTCAAAAATTTTCTCAATGGGTTGACTTGGCTAATTTAATTGATTTGGGGTTCTCAGGTCCGTGCTTCACCTGGTTTCGAGGGGACTCTAGAGCTCATTTCAAAGCAAGCAGAATCGATAGATCCTTTTGCAACTCGGATTGGAATGCCACTTTCCCTAATTCTTGTGTCCAACACCTCCCCAAGCTACACTCAGATCATCTGCCGATCCTCACTAGTAGCTCGGGGCCAGTGAACAGTAGTGGAAGCAGAAGACCCTTCAAGTTCGAAGCAGCATGGCTGCTTCATGATCAATTCCAAAACTTTTTTGCTGACTCTTGGGACAAGGATATCAATCTTCATCAAGCTCTCAGCAACATTTCCCCCAAGCTCCAGCAATGGAATAAAGAGACTTTTGGTATCATTCAGCACAGGAAGAAGAGGTTGTTAGCTAGGATTCAGGGAATTCAAATCAAACTAGCCAACAACTTTCAACCTGGTCTAATTAAGCTTCAGGCTAAGTTGGAAAGGGAGCTGGATGATCTGCTGGCTCAGGAGGAGGTGATTTGGTTTCAGAGAGCGAAAGAAAAGTGGGCAACCCTCGGTGAACAGAATTCTGCTTACTTTCACCAACAAGCTACCAGAAAGAGAAGAAGGAACAGGATCCTTGCCCTGAAAGATGATTCTGGAAATTGGGTGAATGATCCAGCAGAGTTAGAAAAGCTGGTTGTTTCTTTCTACGCCAATCTATATTCTCAAGATTCCACTCCCTACCTGGATCTTTTGCCCAAGAACTGCTTCCCCAGAATTAATCAGGAAGACCTTCTTACTCTCCTCCGCCCTTTTACTATTTCAGATATTCATAAGGCGATTTTTGGGATGAAACCTTTCTCTGCTCCTGGGCCTGATGGCTTTCAAGCTATCTTCTATCAAAAGCTTTGGCATCTGGTAGGACAAAATACTGCTAATATGGCTTCTTCCTTTTTTGAAACAGGTCATCTTCCGCAAGGCATGCTGGACTCTACTATCATTCTCATTCCAAAGACCAGTCACCCTGAGTCACCTGCTCAACTGCGACCCATCTGCCTCAACAATGTCAGTCTTAAAGCCATAACCAAGGCAATGGCAAACAGGCTTAAACCTCTTATGAGCACTCTGGTGGCCCCAACTCAAAGTGGCTTCATCCCCAAAAGGCAGACCAATGATAATATCATCATCCTTCAAGAGGTTCTGCACTCGCTTAGGAAGAGGAAAGGAAAGAAGGGGGGAATTGTGATCAAAATCGATCTTGAAAAAGCCTATGACAGGTTAAGATGGGAATTCATCAGGGACACCCTAATTGAAGTTGGGCTGCCAAGTACCTGGATCAGTAGAATCATGATGTGTGTGGAAGGGAACAGGATGAAAATCAATTGGAATGGCAATTTGACTGATTGGATTCTTCCCTCAAGGGGTGTGAGGCAGGGAGATCCTCTATCTCCCTACCTGTTCGTGCTCTGTATGGAGAGGCTCTCTCACAGGATCAATGCTGCTGTGGAGAGTAATCAATGGAAGCCTCTTTCCCTTACTTCTCATGGTTTTAAGCTTTCTCACCTATTTTTTGCAGACGATTTAATTTTATTTGCAGAATCAGGAGCTAATCAGATGGAGGTCATCAAGAGGTGTCTAGAGGATTTCTGTGAAAGTTCTGGACAGAAGGTCAATCTTAACAAATCCATGATGTTTGTTTCGCCGAACATTAGTCGTCAAAGGGCCCAACAACTCAGCAATCAAGCAAATATCCCGCTAACTAATGACCTGGGAAGATATCTGGGCCTTACTGCCATCCATGGAAGAGTCACCAAATCCAGATATAAGGAGCTAGTCCTTCGCATTCAAAAAAAACTTGCTGCTTGGAAGACTAACTTCTTATCTCTTGCGTCTCGTCTAACCCTGGTGAGATCTGTTGCTTCTTCTATGTCCATTTACCCCATGTTTTCAGAAGCTCTACCAGCCTCGATTTGCAGTTCCTTGGACAGGGTCAATAGAAAGTTCATCTGGGGAGAAGAGGAGGGGAAAAGCAAATTTCATCCAGTGGCGTGGGACCAGATCACTCTGCCAAAGGACCAAGGGGGAGCTGGAGTTCGCACCACCAGACTCGCCAATCAGGCTATGCTAGCTAAGGGCAGCTGGAAATTGGCCACCAAGGATGAGTGTTTGTGGGCTAGGCTGCTTTTGAACAAGTATGGAGGAAACAGAGAGGGCCTCAACATCCTGCAAAAGAAACAGGGAAGCTCTCTCGCCTGGCGCAGCTTTGTTTCATCTGCTAATGTGCTGAGGAAGGGTTTTTCCCTAAATATCAAGAATGGTAGGCGAGCTAATTTTTGGTGTGACTCTTGGGTTTCGCAGGTGCCACTGAAGAATCTGGCCACTGCTAACATCTCAGAGGAGCAGCTAAGGAAGTCGGTTGCTGACTTATGGGAACCAGATCAAGGGTGGAAGATGGATGAGTTTCAACATCTGCTGCCAGATCATATCGTTAACAAAATCAGAGCGATAATCATCGACCCGCTGGATGTTGAAGGCGACCAATTTTGCTGGAGCCTTACTGCCAATGGCCACTTCTCGGCCAACTCCGCCTACAAAGCTAGCCAGCATCTACCTGTCCAGCAGCCTAGTCCAATCTGGAAACGCATCTGGAAACTGCAGGTCCCGGAAAGAGTCAGGGTCTTCATTTGGATTGCTGCCCAGCAAAAGTTGACCACGAATAGCATCAGAAAGTATAGACACCTTTCGCAGGATGATTCTTGCCCTGAGTGTAGTAATGTCATTGAAACTAATCTTCATTGTTTGAGAGACTGCAGAAGGGCTAAATCAGTGTGGAATAGAATCCTGGAGCAACAACGCAAAGACAGCTTCTTCGACTCCAGCTGCGATGATTGGTTTAAAGCGAACATCATGGATGACTCGACTGGAAACTGGCCAGGGCAATGGAGCAGTTTTTTCAGCTTAATTATGTGGTACATTTGGAAGTGCAGAAATGAGGGGATTTTCAAGGGGACTAAGCTCACGAATGCAACGCTTTATCACTATGTTCGGACTAAAGCTTCTGAGTGGGTGAAGGCTTGGGAAACAGGTCAAAAGGCCATCTCTTTGAGCAAGAAGCAGGTTAGGGAGGAGCAACTAATTGGGTGGAATAGACCGCCAACAGGATGGCACAAGCTAAACACTGATGGCGCTGCTCAAAGTAATCCTGGAATGGTCACTGCAGGTGGGGTGCTTCGTGATCATGATGGAGATTGGTTGGGTGGATTTTGCAGCAAACTTGGAGCAGGTTCCGCTCTGCTTGCTGAGCTCTGGGGAATTCTTCAGGGCCTGGAACTAGCATGGAGAAAGGGATCTCGATTCCTCGTGCTCGAAACAGATTCCAAACTAGCTCTTCAACTCATTGAGAAGAGAAATGACAGAGTTCACCCTTATGCAACGATCCTTGGAACGATTAGACGTATGTTAGCTAAAGAATGGGTTGTTCGATTAGTTCATACGTATCGCGAAGGGAATAGAGTCGCGGACTGGCTCTCGAAGCACAGTCTCGTCTATCCCTTCGGTACGCATGAATTAGTTGACCCCCCATTGGACCTGGACCGAATATGTCGTGAGGATGTTTTGGGGATCAGCTTCCCCAGGCAAGTCATTCGAGAAGAAGACCCTTAGGGTGGTGGCTCTACTCGTTTTGATCCTCTGTTTTTAGTGCCTTTTTCGGTTTTATTTGGTGCTCCTGACCTGCTTCTAGCAGTTAAGATCCTGTAACCCTGGCTTCTTGCCTCCCTTTAATAAAAAAAAAAAAATATATATATGCATGGTCTGTCGTCAATCAATACTTTCCAGAAGCTATTATACTGGCTAGAATGGGTGTCATAGTACGTACGTACCATGTACATAAACAGTTGTTGACAGAATACTACATTAACTCTGTGTATCCAATTCTCTCATTCATAGCTAGCTAGGTTTTTTTCTAGTTGGTTATACCGTACCACTGAATCTTTGAAAATCTATATCTATCTATCTATCTATCTATCTATCTATCTATACTAAATGTTATGGCTATTCAAAATAACTTCTTGCCACATAAGCACTTAGTGAATGCACAAGTTGTCAAGGTGAACAATTTTTTTTCAAACAAAAAACTATTTATTGATCTATTTATGAAGTTCTCTCTCTCTTATTTTAATAATTCTACTCATTTTTACTAAAATTAAAATAAGTTAATTTTTTAGGAAACATTTAAACAAAAAAGACACACCTAAGTAATAAAAAAAATTCGATTAAACAAACTATAAAGATGGAAACAGAGAGTGACATATATTGTATTTGTTTAACCTAAGCTGATTAAATCTGATTAAGTAAATTTTCTACTATTTTTACTAAAACTTAATAATAAGTTACATTTTTATGAAGAAAAAAAATGGAAACAGAGAGTGACATATATTGTATTTGTTTAACCTAAGCTGATTAAATCTGATTAAGTAAATTTTCTACTATTTTTACTAAAACTTAATAATAAGTTACATTTTTATGAAAAAAAAAACAAGTACCAACATAAATATTAATATTTTTCAATACAAAATATAAACGATGGTCTAACAGAAAATAAACGTTTGACAATCAATCGACTTTGAGAAATGAATGATATGACTATATATTTTTTGCTATCAAACACTCACTTCTTTCTTATGTATATACCTATCAAATAAAACAAGTATAAATTATATAGCAAAATGTCTGAATATAAACTTGATAGAGCAATAATTGTTATTTTTTAAAAAACTTCTTATTCATTTCTATTAAATGAAAACATATTAATTATTAATGCAAACTTTTAATTTGTTTCTATCCCTTTCTTCATTTTGATTGTCTCTCTAGAAATAAAATCCAACATTGAAAATAAGAAATCAAGAAAGTATGTCAACCACCATAAAAATAAACAAAGCCCTCTTATTAGTTGCTCAATTTTTTTGAGATTTCTAATATTTGCATTCTCATAATTTACAGAGAAGGAAATGGTAATCCATACGATTTTTTTTTCTTTGTATGAGAATAAGAGGCAGAAATTACACGAGACAACGATAAGATGACAAAATTTTGAGCAGTTGTAACATATTTTTGCCTATTGACGAAAAAAGTTAATCTGATCATTGTTAAGATGAGGTGAACCAAGCCGAGGGTTGTCGACTGCTCCCTCTTTCTCCTTGATCTGAAGGTGACAACTGGTCTTGCTTTCTCAACGATATGTTATTGTTTGTGGTTGACTGGCCGAGTTATACTCTTTTTCTCATTCTTTTCTTAACTTCTTCCACATTACGACTGCTGGATGGTAAATTTTCCCACTCTCGATGAGTGAATTTATTTCGTCTTTGTTTTTTTACTGAGAAGGGTCGCCATATACTTTCATGTATATAAAATATAATTAGAAGAGTTAATTGGTTGGACTTAGTGCATACCTCCTTTGGTTGAATAATTGATCGTTTTTCTTGAATGCCTATTGCAACCCGATTTCTTGAATGTTGAAATGGAAAGTAGAGTTGTGATGATTGTTTAGTATATTTTATGTTCATGATTGACATGCTACTACTAGCTAGCTATACAATAATGATCTGGTTAGTAATTAGTAGGTAGCAAAGGGGTTATAATTAGAAGGGAACATAATTGGGGTTTTATAAAGGTCACGAAGAAGAAAGAAAATGATAATTGTGGTTTCTCGGTTGTCTATTTCGATGTTTTTTAAATTTCTACATGTTTGCGGTGACATTTGTTTGTTTCATTAAGGTGAATTTTTCTGCATTGAATCACTAACTAAAGATTGATTTTGACATGATTGTTTTCTTACAAACTACTATTTGGTTTGATGTCTATATTCCGTTCACAAATGAGGAATCTGAATGATAAAATGAGTTGAGTTGTATTGAGAACTGCTCCTTTCATTATTTGTCTATGTTGTTATTAGGTAATAAAGCACAATTCTTTTCTGCAGGAGATATGTAGCTCTCTACAAAATATAAATTATGTTTAATTATATGCAGTTTAATTTGCTGAAAATATTGCTTTAATAAGTTAGTGACAGCTGATAGTTTCGTTTGTGGTTGGTTTTGCTAGAACATTTTAAGGAAATTAAACAAGTACGTGGAAGATTGATGGACGTGGATGTTAATGAGTTTCCTCATTATTCTAAAATTGTATGTGTAAGTGATAATACACGATATTCATGGGATTTAGATCGGAATATTCTCTATTATCATATACCGACATATGAGAAGGGAGAGAAAATAAAAAGCTCTTCACTTATTTTTTATTATTAATTGAAACATATTTTCTTATTCTAACTTCTTCTTTTGTGGCTGTAAGTTTTTTAACTTCTTTATCACAATTCTGTGCTAAAGAATGAATAATCTCTTATGTTTATAATCTTAAAGGGTGAGTTCGATAAAAAAATTCTAAATCAATAAAGAACCGTCTACAAAGAGCTCAGTTAATAAAATTAAAATGTTCATAAATAAACAAAAGGTATAAAAGTATGAAATAATACCTGAAATAAGGTAAGTGGGATTTACATTTCCATGTATATTACCTTAGCAATCATAAATAATAATAACAATTAGAATACTATAACGAATTATAAAACAACCAAACAAAATACACCGCCCAACGGGCGGGTAAAAAACTAGTTTATATCAAATTCATAACTCGTGTGTTTATCATACAAAGCTATCTAGGTGGGTCATAATTAAGGTAGTGCTATGTTTTTCTCATTTTTTTTTTTATCACACTCATGCCATTCATTGTGCCCTATTGTATTTTTATAGGTTACTAGATTGGTGTTCGACCTGTTGGTCGGAATGTTATTTGAATACAATGTATTTATGATGTGTATATAAAATTTTCAAATTATTTGAAATGCCAAAATTTCATATGACATTAAGGTGTAAGAGAAATTGTTTTTCTATTTTGGAAAGTCTTATACCTTTTCATCAATGATGAACATTGTAAGTTTTATTATTTCCCTACTCAAAAGCTTAGTATAAAAAATTAGCTCCGAAGTTCTCGGTGGCCAGGAAATCGGTGATTAGGGTTTGCTTCACCAAGTTCTTGTCGGCAACTTGATGGCAGCCGTGGGGCCATCCTCTCCTCTGCCTGAGGGGGATCCCAAGCCGCCGGACCCTACTGCAGGTGTCCGTCGTCCGCCGGAGCTGTCGTCTTCTCCGGATGGCAAGAAAGCCAAGGAAGCGCAACATCCAAAAAAGTGGTTTAGAGGCCTAGAGTTCCAAGAGGAGAACCAAGACATGGATGAGGTGATCATTGAAGATTTAACGGAGACGGAGGAAGATACTGACCCTATTCCCCAGTCGGGGACGCCACCGCCGCAAGCCAATAATTTCCCGGACAATAGCCAAGCACCAAAACCAGCATCGAGGCCGATGGCATGGGGAGAAGGGAGACGGAAACTGTTCAGTGAGGCTGTTCAAGAAGTCGAGTGGTATGTGGCAGACTCGGACTCGGAAGATGTTGATGAGGGGATGCGAGAAGATGATCGGGATGAGGCTACCATGGAAGAGGATAACCCACGCTGTCCGTCTACTCCATTTACTGCTGCTGAGTTTCGGAAGTACAGACGTGAGTGGCGCTCGGCGATTGTGGTGAAGATATTGGGAAGATCATTCCCATACCTGGTGGTGGCGAGAAGGCTTAACATGTTATGGGCAAGGAACGACATTATCCAGGTTACGAACAGGGGATACGAGTACTACTATGTGAGGTTTACGAACAAGCTAGACTACGAGCACGCATTGATGGGGGGGACCTTGGATGCTAGGTGATCATTACATCACGACGTGCCAGTGGAAGAAGGGCTTTAACCCTTAGAACGAACGATATAAAACCAACCCTTGTCTGGCTTCAATTACCGGACCTACCAATCAAGCTCTATCACCCGGAAGCGGTCCTGCGCATTGCCAGTCGAGCGGGAAGGCCAGTCAGGCTTGACCGGGCTACTGAAACGGGTGCCCAAGCGAAGTTTGCAAGGGTTTGTGTGGAGGTTGATTTCAAGAAACCGTTACTCTCACAATTCAAAGTGGAAGGCATTGAGTATGATATTCAATATGAAGGGCTGACGAATGTTTGTTTCAGTTGAGGAAAATATGGTCATTCACAAGCACGCTGCCCTAGTGTGCATACTGAGACTCCGACCCAAGTAAACATTGACCCTGCGCAACAGGAGAGAGCCACGCGCTACGAAACTTACGGGGAATGGATGATTGCGAAGCGTAGAGAGAGACGGCCAAATGGAAATAAGAGTACGGGAGGGAACAGAGGGAAGACTAGTACACAGCGACAACATATAGACCCCCGCCCTGGTTCCAGGCTTTGGCAGAGGAAGGAGAGGAAGAAATGGCTATCAATAGCCAGAGGGGAACGATTGATGACCACAGAGATCACCGACTAGTAGCCAACACTCGGAACCAGGGGCATAGGCAGGTATGGGTGGAGAAAAGCCGAGATCAACAGAATAATTATACCCCACGCACTTCACAAACAGATGTCGTAACCCCCATGAAAGAACCAACCAATCAGCAAGTGAGTGAGAAGTTAGTAGCTAATGACTTAGCTCCCCATGCAGTGGACGTCCAAGGGAAAGAGAAAGAAGCAGTCATAATGAATCCTGATGGGGACTTGCCCAACAATAACACCACGCAGAAGGGGTCGAGGACAGTGGGCGACCAAACCAAGAACTCACCGTCACTGGTTACCCCAGTGGAGACATCTTGTGGCGGGGACTTTCAGCTACAAAACCAAGAGGCAAACATGATCACAAGTCAGCGACAAGAAGAAAGCACACAAAGGTTGGGAGTAGATGACGAATTATCGAAGGTGGGGAGCCCGCAAAAAGAGGCTCCGCCCCCCGCACAGTAGCCTGTCTTTCTCGCCCTACAGCCATACATGTCTTTAATGGATACACGAGTTTTTGTATGGAACTGTAGAGGTGCAGGAGGCAAGCACTTCAAGTGAGTTTTTCGGGAATACCAACGGAGATACAACTCGAGTATAGTAGTGATTGTGGAACCCCGCATTAGCGGGGAGAAAGCCAAGAAGGTGATTGATAGACCGTCATTTACACATGTTTTTACCCCCATTCTTACACCGTTTGAGGTGTTGATTCTCGTGTTTTAGGCCGATTTCACGCTAGGTTGTGCTTGTTTGTGATGTTTCAGGTCCTAGTACGTGAATGAAGGTTTAGGAGCGAGTCTGGGGTCGATTGGACGAAGAACGGACGAATGGCGAGGTTTTTGGGGAGCTGCACGGGCATACCAGGGAGGCTGCACGGCCGTGCACGGTTGCAAGCTGGCCGTGCGCCTCATGCCGAGGAGCTACACGGGCAGGCCTTGAAGATTGCACGGCCGTGCACCTGGCCGTGCAAGAAGCCTGAGTTCGACTTAAGGGATACGCTGCGTTTCATGGTGCACGGCCAGAATGGTGAGGTGCACGGCCGTGCACCCTGGCCGTGCAACTCGGGAAACCCGGTTTTAAAGCCTAATCCGAGCCAGAAGTGAAAAAACAGTGTTTTCAGAGCAAAAACAGAGCCCTAGAGAGAGAAAGTACGAAGAACACATCCTAGAAGCTGTCTTAGAGCTGGATTTCATCGAATCGAGCCTGGAGATCGTCATAGGAGTGAAAATCATCGTCCCGGAGCAGATTATCCTCATCGTTATGAGTATGACTAATCCGATTCTTGTTTTCTCTTCTCTCTCTATGGAGTAGAACCCTTCTCTCACTTGGGGATGAAGAACCCTAGTTCTATGTGTTAGGGATTGATTGTAATGACTTGGGATGATATTACTGTTTGGTTTTAATCGATTGAGACATGCTTTATTGAGTCAATTGAATCTTGATCAAATTCTCTTGATTTCTGCTTTAACCTATGATAGATAGAATCTGATTAGGTTAAGAGAGCTTCCTTGATTGATAGTGGTGAATTGGTTGTGCGAGAGTCAATCAATTTACTGCTTTGTACTGGAATCTAATTCCAGTAGTGAATTTCTGTTCTTACTGCTTCAGCTTTCTATCCCGGTGAAGGCTAATCGTCTGCCGGGTAGTTAGACTGAAAGGGCTTGGTCAGCTTAAGAGATTCCAAGCTACTGCCGGATCTTCCGCAGTCTAATCAACAGTAAATCAACCCAGGGTAAATTGCAATTGAACCTAACTAAGGAGCTAGGGGGATTCATTCCCGAGTGACTCTTTCCTGCTTAAGAAAACCGAATAATTTCCTGCTTTATTTATGCTTTCAGTTTAAACAACAATCACTTACTCTAGTTGGCTAGATAACAGAGAATCACTGAGTAAGCAGTAGATCTAGACCCCGGGTTGATAATATAACTTGCCTGTTACTGCATTCCCGGTCTGCGATTACACTTGGTCGCAGATTGGTGTTGTGTTTTGGCGTGTCAAGTTTTTGGCGCCGTTGCCGGGGACCCCTCTAGGTTATTGGGGAAAAGTGAGAATTTGTTACTCTAGCTTTTTATTTTCTGCTTTTTATTTCTTCCACCTGTGTGCCTTCACGGGTTGTTTCTGCTGATTGTGTGCAGGTAGTGCATGACCCGTAGCCAGTCGGGAGATCTATTACCACTAGACCAGGAGCTTGAACGAACCTGCAGAAACTTCAAGCGGGCTCTAAAGGCGCGACTGGCTGCGGAGGAGGCGCTATCACAGCTGCAGTTAGAGGAGGAAGAAGAAGAGATGGCTGAACCAGGGAACCATGCTGTGATCCCCGAGGAGCAGACCATGGGCTCCTACTGGACCGCTAGGGCTGCGGACATGAGGTCACCCATTCAGCACCCTCAGGTCCCAGCCAACAACTTTGAGGTGAGCACCTCCGTGATCACCATGCTGCGCGGTTCAGTAGTGTTCCGTGGTAAGGAGGGAGAGTGCCCTCGATCACATCTCAGGCGATTCCACGAGCTCATCGATGGAATCAAGATCAAAGGGGTACCAGCAGATGCCATCCAGCTGAGGTACTTCCCATTCACTCTGGAGGGGCAGGCCAAGGAGTGGCTAGACACTCGATCTCCGGGCTCCATCACCATGTTCGCCAACCTGGCGGACAAGTTCCTCACCCGCTACCATCCTCCATCCAAGACAGCTGACCTGCAGAAGCAAATTACACATTTTGCTCAGGATGAGGATGAGACCATCAGGGATGCATGGGAGAGGTACAACAGTCTTTTCCTCAGGTGTCCCAATCATGGTTTCAACGATGCGTTCAAGGTGGGCACCTTCTATCACGCCCTCTTCCCGGAGGACAAGCAGCTGATCGATTCGGTTTGTGGCGGGAACATGCTGACCAAAACCCCGCCACAGCTGAATCAACTCTTTGAAGAGATGGCGGAGAATGGTTATGATTGGGGCACTGCCAGGAGATCGAGGAGAGCACCAGGCCGGGGTGTGCATGCTGTGGGCACCCAGTCATCTGATTTGGTGCAGGTAGTATCGAAGCTGGTCTCAGCTATCGATCGTTCCGGGATGATTCCAGGGACCGGACAGCAGCAGGCGATGCTCTGCCAGTGGTGCGAGAGCACCCATCATATGGTGGAAGACTTCCAGGCGATGAAGGAATCGACCACACCCCAGGAGCAGGTGAACTTCATCAACAATGTCAGGCGCAATGACCCCTACAGCAACACGTACAATGAGGGGTGGCGCCAGCATCCTAACTTCTCCTGGGCTGGGCCAAATCCCAGACCACCAGCTCCACAGGGACCACCAGGCTTCCAGAGGCCACCATATCAGCCCAGACAGGGGCAATTCCAGCAGCCAGGTGCAGCCCCTGCTGCCTCAGTGCAGAATGATCAGATGGCTGAACTGCGGGACTTGGTGGGTTCTCTTGCCAGTGTTAGTTCTCAGAAATTCAACACCTTTGAGCAGTTCATGGAGAAGGCCTCGGGTCAACTCCTGGCTCTGGAAGCTGGTCAGAGGAATACACGGGCTGTTTTGCAGGATATCCAGACCCAGCTGGGGAGCGTGGCCCAGGCAGTGGCTCAAAGGGCTCCTGGTACTCTACCAGGGCAGACCATCCCTCACCCGCCGACCCCGAATGAGCGCTGCAATGCCATCATGACCAGGAGTGGCAAGATGACTGTTGATCCCCCTGCTCGGGAACCGGAGAAAGAAAGCCCTGTCTTAGCGGCTCCAGTGGTTGAACAGGAAGTAGAGAAGGAAGTTGAGGTGCCTGCACCTAAACCGCAACCAGTAGTGAAGGAGTATGTCCCTAAACTCCCTTTCCCTACTCGGTTGCACAAAGACAGGCTGGAGGCAGAGTTCGAGAACTTCATGGCCATGCTTAAGAAGCTGAATGTCCAAGTGCCCTTCCTGGAGGCACTATCGCAAATGCCAAAGTATGCGAAGTTTCTGAAAGAGCTTCTCTCAAAGAAGCAGAAGCTGAGTGAGCTGGCCACGGTAGAGCTCAGCGAGGAATGCTCGGCTATTCTGCAAAACAAGCTTCCGCAGAAGAAGAAGGACCCAGGTAGTTTTACTATCCCGTGCTCTATTGATAAATTGCATGTAGAGAAGTCCTTGGCGGATTTAGGTGCTAGTATCAATGTTATTCCATATAAATTGTTCATGAAACTAGGCCTAGGTGAACCCCGTGCTACTAGGATGACCCTTCAATTAGCTGACAGATCTGTAGTGCATCCTAGGGGTATAGTGGAAGACCTTCTGGTTAAGGTTTGCAAATTCACATATCCCGTGGATTTTGTTATCTTGGACATCAGTGAGGACACAGAAGTGCCTCTTATACTGGGAAGGCCTTTCCTGGCCACCGCCAAGGCTCTCATAGATGTGCATGATGGGACCTTAGTTTTAAGGGATGGCGAGGAGCGAATAACGTTTTCTGTTGCTGATAATATACCTGCTTCGTCACCTCTGCATGCTGTATCTCACCAGGAGCACGATTCTGTCGTGTATCCTTCTGTGCTGCCTATTTTGCAGGAACCGCCTCTCACACCTTCGCCGCCACTCCGGACCACTCCGTCACCCAAAGAACAGATCAAGGAGGAGTGGCGGCCGAAACTGCCGGCAGCTAAGCCTGCTCGAAAGGAAGCCGGAGACCACTATGAGCTGGTCCCGCCCCCTCCTTGGCCATCCGAGTATTCACTCGCTTGCATCCTACCGGATGGCCAAGTTGAGCTGGCGAATGCAGGTGGCCACATTCGTCGCGTGCATGGCCACCATTTGAAGCTGTACCTCAAGAGCGATGTGGATCCGCTCTTGAAGGCACCTGATCCTACACTTCCCTGAGCATCCATACTGGCGTCCAGCTAAAAGACGGTAAAGAAGCGCTTGTGGGGAGGCAACCCCACCGAGGTTTGCATTTTCTTACTCTTTTTCCTTTGATTTTGTGTGTTTTTGAGTCTTGAGACGTTGATCCAGAGTTACGTGTCGTTTTTGAGCGAAAACAGGTTGATTTCGGGACTCCAACAAGTCGCACGGCCAGGACCACAACTTGCACGGCCGTGCGGGCACCCGCCTTGGCCGTGCGAGCTCTCGGCCAAAAGCGCACGGCCAAAAGCGCTTATTGCACGGCCGTGCGCTAATCCTGGCCTGGCCGTGCGTCTTGCACGGGCACAATAATGCCTCGCATAGCCGTGCGGGTATTCCCCCTTGGCCGTGCGAGCTCTCGGTAAGGATGGCACGGCCATATGTGCCCGGTGCACGGCCGTGCGCCCCTGCCCGTGCAGCCGAGGCACGGCCTAATTATATGGCCTGCACGGCCATTGTGGTCAGAAAACTAAAACCACTCGCCGGAATCCTCTGCCCTCGCCAGAAAACCGCGCAAAACCCACCTTTTTTCGATTTTTTCGGCCACTTTGGGTAATTTTTTCACTATACCAACTACAAACCCACTCTTTCTACACCCA